TGGTCGTGTTTGTTGTCCACGAGGGCCGAGTGTTGGGGTGGTCGTGTTTGTTGTCCACGAGGGCCGAGTGTTGGGGTGGTCGTGTTTGTTGTCCATGAGGGCCGAGTGTTGGGGTGGTTGTGTTTGTTTTCACAGCCCTGCTTGCTTGATGTTGATTCTCATGGCTCTGCCCCAGGTCTGGGGCCGTGGCAACTGGGAGTTTCAAGGGCATCTTCCCATTCTCACTCAGGCCGGGGACTCTGATGTCCTTTCGAGAACATGAGGCTCCTTTCCATCCGTCCCCCTGCCCTACTGCTGCCTTGGCCCTCATGCTCTTTGGGGGCTGCCTGGACTTCCCCTGCGCAGGTTTGACCTCAGGGACCTGTGGAGGGTGCTGGCCCTGGTGCTCCAGGGCTGCTGGAGGTCCCCACGGCTTCCCAGGTCTCTGCAGACAGGAATAGTCCAGCCACTAGGCAGGAAACCTCATTGGGCTTTCCAGCAACACACTGCTAACAATTTGAGTTTGAGGTGGAAGAATACACTGCCCCCCAAATCTTTAGTGGAGCAGACATTGGGGGAACTCGGAGCCCCCTGGTGCAGGGCCTCAGATTGTACTCATGTACACCCTCAGGGTCTGCAGAGCCTTCTCACAGCATCCTGGCCCACCCAGGACAGGCCCTTTGTGACAAGGAGGGCTTTCCTCCACGGAGACTCCTGGACACCCCTCTGCAGAATGAACTCCAGGCAGGGGAGGCGAGCTGCCTGGTCGTGGTCCTTCTTGTAGCAAGGCTGATGCTGTCTCAGGATCAGGTGTAAGGAGCACTGCCCACTTTCTCTCCTCTAAGCTGGGTAGCTGTATTTTCTCCTCCCTCCCCTCTCCTCATCTGAAGACTTTAAAGGACGATTTTCATGTCCTTTATTTTACAGAAGCCCTTGCCTTCTGTTTTGTGTTTCTGCCTCTCTCTCCCACCAGTCTTCCCAGTTTGGAGGTGGCTCTTAATAGTCTCTCATCTTGACAATTTGCGGCATGGTGCGTCTTCCTGAGCCTTTAGAGTGTCTTTGTTCATCTCCTCCCTCTCCCGGGACACTGGCACAGCTGGGGCTCCCTAACGCTGGGGAGTCCTCATTCTTTGAGAAGACAGGTAGCTGGCCACCACGTGGTCTCTTAGCCCCAATCAGCTGCAAGCGTGTTCCTGATAACGATCTCCCCTCCCTTCTGTGCCCACCCCGACCCCTCACTGAGTCCTGCAGAGGGCTGTGGGGGGCCTGCAGCTGCTTTGTAGGAGGAGCGACCCAGATTCCTGAGCATCTCTGCAGTGTGGGGTGAGGAAAGCCCTACCGTCCTTAGGCCATGTACCCCTTACATGAGGGGGACAGCAGGCCTAGGGGGAGAGAGAGAACTCTGGGCGTCTGCACACAGTCGAGAAATGAATTTGGTGGAGATGCCCCTGTTCTCTTTGCATGATGAGAATGTGGCTGACTTGTCTTGTTGGAGAACAGCTCACGCCTGAGCCATTGCTTGTGTTCCTGGAGCTCACCCTTTGATTGGGAGCCCCTGCTCTGAGGCTACGGGGAGAAGCAGGTGTGCCCAGCTCCTGGGAGTCCACCAATGGGTTGGGCAGAGGAGGCACACCTGGTTCACTCTGCTGATCCACAGACAACTCCTTTATTGGAACCACCTGAAACCCTGGAGTGGCCTTGGGGAGTGGGAGCCTACCGGGAGGGAAGGCCAAGACCTTGGCAAGGTGGGTGGGATGGCACCCCCTGAAGAAGTAGCCAGCACAGCCCAGGCAGGCCTTGGAGGTCGCGATAGGAGTCTGTTGGACCAGGGCTAACGCTGGGAAGCTGAGTCAAGAGGGTTTGAAGAGCTGTGGCCTGGCCACCAGGCTGGGAATTTGGGGTGACTGGTCACAGGCAGCCATCCATAGTTTGTGAGCTTGTTTAGGATGAACTGGAAGAGAGAGTTGAGGTGGGAAATTGGTTTGGCTGACAAATACAAATGTTGGCAGAGGGGCTGGAGAGGTGGGAACAGATGAGAGAGACTGTGGAGGCTGAGGTGGCCAGTCGGGGCAGGAGAGAAGACGGAGGCCATGTTGGTAGGCGCCTGTGTCTGTGAGGCGGGTGGCTCTGCCATCACCATAAACTGGGAGCTCAGGAGAGGCAAGTTTGTGACATCTGGGGCCTGATTCGGGCGTTTCTGACAAAGGCCAGAAATCGGGACGTTGAAGAGCTCCTTACAGCTGTGCCCTTTCCCATGACCCTCCTTCTTCTGGTTGTAAACCATCCTCTGAGCCTGGGCCAGAAGACAGACCAGCACCAGAGACAAATGTGGAGCGATATCAGCTGCAAAAATGGATTTTGTGAAGAAGAAAAGGGCTTCAGAGATTGCAGGAGCACCCTGTTTCCTTTTGTGGAAGGAGAATAAAGGCACAAAAGACCAACTGATTGGTTTTTCAGAGCCTTTGTGTGCTGCCTTGTTAGGGGGGGTTGTGGGGAAGATGCTCTGTGGAGATTCCTGTCAGACAACAAAGCTGTCTGTCAGGAGGAATGAACCTGCTGAGGGGCCAAGGACCGTGGAGACAGCTGGTCAGAGTCAGGCATGCTGCCTCGGTGCTCCCTGCAGAGAACCCATTCCTTGGGAGAGGTTGGCCTGGACTCCCTCCTGTGCTCGGCAGGACATCTCAGCCAGGCCACTGGTGGCAGGTGTGAGAGCAGTCCCCTCACAGGGAGCTACCTCTCAGGGTGGGGCGGGCTCCACCAGATGGCAGCGTCCTGCTCTTCCTCCACCAGAGACCGAGGCCCCACTTCGCCATTATGCCTCCGAGTGTTGGTGAAGTTCCATTTTGGAAGTTGGGGCTGAGGCGAAGGCAGATTCAACTTGGCTGTGCACCTCCTTAAAACACTGAACTGGAGCAGAGCACTGGCCCTGAGTGACTTGGCCCTCCAGGGCACATGTGGCAGTGTAGCATCTGGAGACATTCTTGGTCGGCACAACTTTGTATGCAGGGGATCTGCTGACATATAGTGGGTAGAGATCAGGGGTGCTGCTAAACATCCTGCAATGCGCAGGACAGCCCCCACCACAGAGAATGATCCAGTCCAAAATGTCCATAGTGCTGAGGCTGAGAAACCCAGAACTAGCATGTTCCTTAACGGCTCATTCTTGCTCCCCCCTGCTGCTGCAGGAAACCATGATGGACCACGCCTTGCGCACCATCTCCTACATTGCCGACATTGGGAACATCGTGGTGTTGATGGCCAGGCGCCGCATGCCCCGGTCGGCGTCGCAGGATTGCATCGAGACCACACCTGGGGCCCAGGAGGGGAAGAAGCAGTACAAGATGATCTGCCACGTGTTCGAGTCAGAGGACGTAAGTACACGCACAGGCACCCTGGGCAGCTCTGGCCAAGTGTTGGTGGAAGTCTGGGTGCCATTATTGACGTTTCCAGTGGGGTCGGTGACTTTTTCTAACCCCCTGAGTTTGCAAAACAGCAAATGCAGTTTTAGTTCACTTTGTGAAATAGCTTCTCCGGGAGGTTTTAACAAATTGAACTGTAGTTACGTATACTAGGGGATCTTCCATTTGAAGGACTCCTTGTACAAAACCTTCTTCTCCCTAAAATAAAATAATCCTAACCTAATTTTTCTGTTATTAAGATGCATGTTTTCATATGACAACTTTGCACCAAGGGAGACACTTCTGTACCTGAGGCCAGGGTTTAGCTGTGTTTTCACATGTGGCATTTCACTTAATAATAAGGTAGACATGATCCCGAAATTTTAAATTCTTGCTGAGAGACCATAACCCTTGACTCATCCTTGAGTGGGGTGAGGCATCCTTACGGGCCTTGAGCGGGAGGAAGGGGCCGAGGAAGGAAGCAATAGGGCCAGGAGGTGAGCTTAGGAGGGCAGGTTGGGCCCTGATCGCTCAGCAGTGCCCCCTTCAGGCAGCTCTTCCTTGGAGGGTCGCAGGGAGGCTGTTATTGAGCTTTTCTTGCTGCTGTTGCCAGACTAGAATTTTTGAAAGTTTTCTGTTCCCCATGGATACTTTGCAAGGACATTCTTGTTCACATAAGGATTTGAAGGCATCCCAGGGACTTGGAACAGTAGAGAAAGGTGTCAGTTTTTCCATGATCATGAAATAAGGCTTAGAAAAGTATTATCTAACCCTATGTTTGAAGGCAGGTGTGTAGCAGGCAGGGGCAGTAACCTTTTTTCCTAACAAACTGAACTCAATTTGAAGTGCTTTGAAACAGTGGCATTATAAGGGAGGAAATTTAAATATAGACCCATGAATGCATACACATGCTCCTTCCACCATTACACAGGTATCCATGGAGACCTAGGTGGGCCTTTTGTGTGACGATGACTTGGAGACTCACAGTGGTGGGGATGGGCTGTTCAGAAGGTCTGCAAGTAGTGGGTGGTGTAAGGCAAGAAGGAGGGAGCAGGAGAGCCTTCCAGGTACCAGCCACGACGTGGGCCTTTGCGTAAAGATGGTACCAGCAGCAGATAGAAATTGGAGGAAGCTGCTACAGCCTCAGTTTTCTCAGTTCAGTAGGAGACAAGGCTGAGAGTGAAAGGGTAGGGGTAAGAGGGGCTGGAGGCCCTGGGGAGGCTGGCTGAGAGTGAAAGGGTAGGGGTAAGAGGGGCTGGAGGCCCTGGGGAGGCTGGAAGTGGTCCTTGAGGAAATGTGGGAAGGACCTGTCCACCCAAGGCTGGAGGTGGTCCTTGAGGGAATGCAGGAAGGACCCGCCTGCCCCATGTGGAGGCTGGAGGTGGTCCTTGAGGGAATGCGAGAGGGACCTGCTCGCCCCATGTGGTGGCTGGAGGTGGTCCTTGAGGGAATGCGAGAGGGACCTGCCCGCCCCATGTGGAGGCTGGAAGTGGTCTGTCTTAGTCATGTAGTGCTGCTATAACAGAAATATCACAAGTGCATGGCTTTAACAGAAGTTTATTTCCTCACTGTAAAGTAGGCTAGAAGTCCAAATTCAGGGCGTCAGCCCCAGGGGAAGGCTTTCTCTGTCAGCCTTCTCATCAATCTTCCCTTGCACTAGGAGCTTCTCTGTGCAGAGACCCTGTGTCCCAAGGATGCACTCTACTCCTGGTGCTGCTTTCTTGGTGGTATGAGGTCCCCAACTTTCTGCTGGCTCCCCTTTCCTTTTATGTCTTGTAAGATAAAAGGTGGTGCAGGCCACACCCCAGGGAAACTCCTTTTACATTGGATCAGGGATGTGACCTGGGTAAGGGTGTTACAATCCCATCCTAATTCTCTTTAACATAAAATTACAATCACAAAATGGAGGACAACCACACAATACTGGGAATCATGGCCCAGCCACATTGATACACATATTTTTTGGGGGACATAATTCAATCCGTAACATGGTCCTTGAGGAAATGTGGGAATGACCTACCTGCCCCAGGTGGAGGCTGGAAGTGGTCCTTGAGGGAATGCGGGAAGGATCCGCCTGCCCCAGGGCAGGTAGAACCAGGCCAGCCCAGGTGGGGTGTGAGCGGCCCAGGAGGCAGCTCTGTGCAGGTGGGCTGCTAGGGTAGGCACAGGGGTCTGAGGTCTGGTGAGAGCAGAGTGGAGCACTGGGAGGAAGCAGAAGGTGGTCCTAAGGACATCACTGTCCCCTCTGGGTCTCAGTTTCCCCGTATACAGTGGAGCTCAGCTGTTCCAGGGCTGTGACAAGATAAATGAGGCCACACGGGTGAAGATTCTTGGCACAGACTAGAGCGCACTTCTCCCCTCCCCATCATGGCCTCCTTGCCCAAAGCCCACCTGCAGGAGGCCCCTCTGAGCACCCAGCTGTGAGCTGGGTCAGGCAGGTGAGGCCCTGGAGAGAGCCCTCGGGAGCTGGCCCTTCCGCCAGGCAGCAGGGACCAGAACACAGGGTAAGAGGGGAAATGGAAGAGAGGGAAGGCAGGAGATGTGAAGGGCTTCCTGGGGTCTCCCTTGAAGGAAGCCCATGTCCCCGCAGTGTGGAGGGGCATCTGGGCCTGAGGGGGATGGGAGGGGACCCAGGAGGATGACTGCAGAGTCCAGGGTCAGCGGGCCGTCAAGTCCGGATTCTGGGATAGAGGTTCTCAGATCTACGTTCCAGTCTGGTGACATGGGGTTTGGTGGGGGGAGTTTCTGACCTAGGGGAGGTGGGATGTAACCCGAGACCTGGGGGGTGACACAGCATCCACAGACCCTGAGGAGCTCAGTCAGGCAGGACACATCCTGGCTGCCCGGTTGCCCCCATGCCCTCCGCCCTCAGGCTCTCCTGGAGGCCGACCCCCAGTATGGGCCCACGTGTAACCCAGAGTGCACATATGTTTGGGGTCCTTCAGCCTATGCACGTGGAAGCCCCCACTGCTGCACTCTGCATGCCCCCTCCCACCATTTGTGTGTCCAGGCTACCTGGTGGCTCCGCCTCGGGGAACCAGTGATCCACAGAGACCCACCTACCCTGAATGGTCAGCGGGGCCCACTGCCAAAACCGCAGACCTGGGGGTGGAGGGGTTGTTTTGAGTCCACCGTTCAGGGCCCATTTGGGAGAAGCAGTTCAATCTAAAGTCAGCACCTGTGAAGGAAGGCTCCCATGTGCTGTGTTTATCATTTGCCTCAGCCCCCTTTCACATATGTCCATTTATTTGCAGCACTGAAGTCATGTAATGTGCAGAGTGAGAAGGAATGGAGGCATTTAGGCCACATCCCTCATTCTCATGGTCTGGTCCTGTTTGCTCAGAGACCCTTGATGCAGAGGGGTGGGAGCTCAGGCGGGGAGTAGACAGGGCTGGGGTGCTCTGGGGGAGTAGACAGGGCTGGGGTGTCCTGGGGGAGTAGATAGGGCTGAGGTGCTCTGGGGAGTAGACAGGGCTGGGGTGCTCTGGGGGGTAGACAGGGCTGGGGTGCTCTGGGGGAGTAGACAGGGCTGGGTTGCTCTGGGAGTAGACAGGGCTGGGGTGCTCTGGGGGAGTAGACAGGGCTGGGGTGCCTTGGGGGAGTAGACAGGGCTGGGGTGCTCTGGGGAGTAGCAGGCACCCATGAAGGTGGTTCATCTCAGTAGATAGAGATGATTTGCTCTGTGGGGTCTGTGTCCTGCTCAGAGCTGGTGGCCTACCCATGAAGTCAGGTGCGAATGAGCCTGGCTGGGTCATGGCTCTCAGGGAGAGCCCTGTGTGCTGCAGGCCAGGTGGAGCCCCAAGCTCTCTGAGAGAACGGGCCCTTCCTGGAGCCACACTGCCTGGGGAAGCAAACCCCAGCCCTGCACTTCAGCACTTCCCCTCCTCACTGCATGCTTCCACAGCATGGCATCTGGGCATGAGTCTTTTTAAAATTGTCCTCAGCGTTTAGGGGCGTGTTTAGTCTGCAGCCTCATTTCCTCCTTCAGCTCTGAGATGTTTTCTGTCATTTTTTGAACAAATCCTTCCCCTCCTTTGGCAAATTTCGGGTCTCCTGATCCTTCCTCTGAAGCTGTTACATTTTTTCTCCGGTTTTCCATCTCTGTTTTGTTGTTCTTGTTTGTTTCGTCGCATGATCGGTGAAATTTCCTGCATATTGCATTTTATGTCAGTAATCATGTTTTATTTCTGAAAGCTCTTGTGAGCGTTCTCATTGTTCCTTTTTTCACGGCATCTGGCTCTTGTTTTGTGGATGCAGTGTTTTCGTGAAGCTCTCTGAAGATGCTGAATAGAGGTTGTGTGTTTGTTTGAAGTTCTCTGCTGGTCCCTGAATGACTATTTCTTCCGGGAGCAGCTGTTCTGTTTATCTCAGTCCTTCTCTTTCCTGCTGTTGGTTTTCCTCATGTGACTGGTGACCTCGGTTTTTGGTTTGCATTTAGATTGGAGGGCACTGGGGGCCGGGGGAGATTGTCCTCTTTGCTGTCTGTGTTGGCGTGTCTGTGCCATTTCTCCCTGAGAATGGTAAGGCCACAGGGTGCTCTGCATTTGTGAGCAGGGATCACTTTCCTTTGGGACAGGGCTTCTCAAGCCTTAGAGTATTTGGAAATGTGTGGGGCATTTTTGATTTTCACGATGACTGGAGGGTACTGCTTGGTGGGTAGAGGCAGGGGATGCCGGCTATTCTGCCTGGAGTGTGATGGTCCTGCCCAAAGAGGAATCATCCTTCCCCAAATGCTGGCAGCTCCAGGAGAGCTGGCAGGGAGCCATCCTGAGCCGGAGATGGCCAGATGCCACACTGGGGTGGCCTTTGCTTTGAGACTGCAGCACTCACCCTGTTATTGTTCGCCATTGAGTCATTTCCAGCTCATACCCTAATTCTCCCTGGGTAGTTTGTACAATTTCTTTTGAAATAAGAAAGGGAAGAGAGAGAGAGGGAAAGAAGGGAAGAATGGAAGGAAGGAAAGAGGAAGGAAGGAGGGAGAGGAGGGAGAGGAGGGAAGGAAAGGAACCTTTACGGTTTTGCCTGCAATCTTCACGTGTAGGAGGGAAAGGCATCTGTGTCACCCGCTGGCCCAGTTGTTCTGAGGTCCGACTCTAAGGTCAGCCCTGCAGCCCTTCCCACCTGTGGGACTGGGTGGCTTTTAAGAACAGAAGTTTATTCTCTCACAGTTCAGTGTGTTGGCAGGGCCATGCTCCCTCTGAAGGCTCTAGGGGAAGACCCTTTCTTGTCTGGTGGCCCACGGTGTTCCTTGGCTTGTAGATGCAAGGTCACATGGCGTCCTTCCTCACCTGCCTGTGTCTCTGTGTCTCTTCTGTTTTATAAGGACACCACTCAGGTTGGATCAGGACCCACCCCTCTCCAGTATAACTTCATGTTAACTGACACCGTCTTCAGAGACCCTGTTACCAAACAAGGTCACACTCATGGATGCTAGAGGTTAGGACTTCAGCATACCTTTTGGGGGAACCTGATGGCACAGTGGTTAAGCACTCGACTCTTAACCAAAAGGTCAGCAGTTTGAACCCACCAGCTGCTCCGTGGGAGAAAGATGTGGCAGTCTGCTCCCATAAAGATTTACATCCTTAGAAACCCTATGGGAAGTTCTGCACTGTTCTATAGGGTCACCGTGAGTCAGAATCAGATCCATGGCAATAGGTTTGGTTTTTTGTTTGGTTGATTCAGTCTGTAACACACAGGGAACGTGATGTTCTTGGAACGGCATCAACTGCACCCTAAACTCTGTCCCTCAGTGCTCCCTCAGAGAAGGGCAGCTGTGGCTCTCTTTGGCCCACAGCCATTTCTCAGGGTGGGAGGGAAGTGCTTGTCCTGCTTGTCCTGGCAGTCTGATGGGCTTCTGTTCCTGACCCCTGTCCATCCCAGGAACCCTGCGGGCCGTGGCGAAGTGGAAGGGCTCCCATTGCCTGCCCAGGTACCTGCACCCGAGATGTGGCTCCCTGCAGTCACCAGCTCCACCTGTGTCCGAGTCCTGGGGGAGGCATCTGGTCTGGGGGCCAGTGGCTCTCTCTAGACCGTGGCATACCCCAAGCCTCTGGGCCCTGGTGTTCAATTCCAGGGCTGCAGGGACAGTCCCCTTCAAAGTCCTCCCCCCAGGTTTGCATTCCTGGCTGCAGTGTTCTCAGTGGCATCTCTAGCCAGGCGCCTCCAGCCTCTGAGTTGGTCTTCCGACAGGTTTGGGGTGCACAGAGCTGGTTACAAGTGATCATTGTGGAGCAACAGGGAACTCCCAGGGCAGCTGCTGGCAGGGGCCACGAGAAGCAGGAGAAAGCAGCCGAGTTGGCCAGAGCCGCCTGGGTTCTTCCACATGACCTCTGACTGGACGGTGGACATGTTGTGACCCCGTCTCCAAGTGCTACTCTTCCTTTTTCTATGACCTGTTTTATACATGGTCACCATTGTACACGTGCGAGACAGTTCAGGCCCTTAAACAAGCAAACCAGCAACAAAAGACAGTCCAGCCCCCACCCCGTGCCTCCTCCCGTGCTCCATGGGGCTGGCCCACCCAGGAACTGGCCGCTTCCCGTGGGCCTGCCTGTGGCGAGAAGACTGGGCCCAGGGAAATGTGGCCCAAGAGCCACCGTAATCTGATGAAGGGCTGGGTTCTTGCGGGAACATTTTCCATCCCTCATAGAAGAATCCGCCTCATTGGTCCCCGGGGCACAGTATGATTCCTCCCCAAGGGAAGAAGGGGGAGGATGAGAGAGGGCCCCAAACCCGAGCCTTCCAGCTGTGCGGAAGCCCCCGTGGTGCCAGAACTGGGATTCTGTTTGTCTAGAGAAAAATACTAATTGCTGACAATCACTGAATGCTTCCTACCTACTGCAAGGCTGTAAGTGTTATCATTTCAAATGAGATTAGATGCATCCCAGCAGCATTATAGATGAAGAAACGGAGGCCCCACAAGGCTGAGTCACTGCCCACGGGCACACAGTGAGGGCACAGCTGGGGTTTAACAAGGCAGCAGACCAGAGACCAGGTGAAGATCACCGGGCTGTCCGCGGGCTTAGCTTTGGTGCACATTACTGGAGACCCAAAATAAATGAAAGCGGCATAGATGAGACAGCGGTTCTAGTCTTCCATAGCAGCAGTGTGGAGGTGGAGGTCATCTACCAGCGACCCAGGTTCCCCTCTTGCTATTTTACACCCTGAGTGTGTGGTTTCATCCTCAGAGCCCCTCTGGACTGGAGATGGCTCCTGAGACTTCCTCACTCAGGGGGGCGGGGGGCGGCAAAAGGCAAAGGGCATCACCCCTTTAAGGAGGTGTCCCAGGACAGCCCCATGCCCTGCAAGCGGCTGGGCACACACGTTGCCTTCCCGGGTGACATTGGATTTTGTCACTACCGAGAAATGAGTACTGGGTAGACAACTGGCAGTGTCTGAGACACTCTCGGGAGAACACCCCTCGAGTCCTGTTTTTGGAATAAGACAGGTGGCAAGAAAATACAGTTGCCAACTGCAGTTACAGGACTAGGGTATTTAGCAAATAATTCATAATTTTCCCCGACTGTATTTGAAAGCATGCTTTGTCCTGGGATGTCGGGATGTAAAGCAGCTGGGTGGGCGCAGTTAGGACCAGGCCCGTCTGGTACCAGGCAGCAGAAGGGCACACCCCATGGGCAGTATTGTGGGAGACAGCTTTCCTTGGACCAGGGCCTACAGGTTCCTTCCTGGGCCCCCCGGGGTGCTGTGGCCCTCCTCTGGGGGGTCGTGTGGGGCCTGTGCTTCCACGCTTGCTTCCAGCGGGCCTGCCCCCTCCCTGCAGGCCCAGCTCATCGCCCAGTCTATCGGGCAGGCCTTCAGCGTGGCCTACCAGGAGTTCCTGCGGGCCAACGGCATCAACCCCGAAGACTTGAGCCAGAAGGAGTACAGTGACATCATCAACACCCAGGAGATGTACAATGACGACCTCATCCACTTCTCAAACTCGGAGAACTGCAAGGAGGTGAGTGCGCTCCACTTGCCCCCTCTCCCAGCTGGGCCTTCCAGAGTTTAGCCAGGTGGCCTCAGCCCACCGGGAGGACAGAGCAGCCTTTATGGCCTCGCAGGTCACTGCTGTCACAGCCGAGCACTTGGGTGTGCAGTGAGGTGTTGTTGTAACAAAGGAGCTAATGACAACCAATTTAACAACCTTAGAAAATACGCCTTTTAATGTTACTCTTGTCATCAACTAGCACTCAGGCCTGGGAGAGATCTCTGAAATGCTGTGGGGGGCACCTTTAAAACAGGGAATGTGGGTGCTCTGTTTCAAAGCTGCCAGCAGAGGGCGCCTGAGCAGGTTCCAGAGGCTCTGCTCCTGGATCTTTGGAAAGTTTTGCTTTCCAAAGCAGAAACCTGGGGGTTGACCTATAACCTGACTGCTTGTTAAAGGAGTAGATAAATGAATGGCCCAGACTGCTTGTTGAATGAATGAATGAATCAGTAAATGAATGATTCTGACTGCTTGTTGAATTAACTAATGAATGAATGACCCCGATTGCTTATAAAATGAATGAATGACCCTGACTGCTTGTCAAATGAATGATGCTAACTGCTTATTGAACAAATGAGCAGAATGAATGTCCTGCTTGTGGAATGAATGAATGAATGGCCCTGGCTGTTGCTGAATGAGTTGTAGGCAGCCTTCTGAGGGAGAGACCCTTGAGGCAGACAGAAAATAGGGGGCTTTTCTAGCCAAGTGCAAAGGCTGGGTGTTAGGGTGCTGGTGAGGGGTGGAGTGGAGGATGGGCACTGGGGTTGAGAGCACCCCTCTGGGCTCTGTGGTGTGTGGTTAGGGACACAGCGGCGGGGGGAGGAGCAGGAGCCAGGACGCTGGAGCCGCTCGAGGCTGGAGAGTCAATGCTGGGTGTGGGGAGAGCTTGGGAGCCAGGGCAGGGTGAGGCCAGAGGTGGGTGGGTGGCTCCGAGGGCCCAGGCTTGGGCATGTCCTCCTGGGGGTGCTGGCCCCCACCCCCCACGGCACCCTCACAGCTCCTCCCTTTGCAGCTGCAGCTGGAGAAGCACAAAGGAGAGATCCTGGGCGTGGTGGTCGTGGAGTCGGGCTGGGGCTCCATCCTGCCCACAGTGATCCTGGCAAACATGATGAATGGTGGCCCGGCGGCCCGCTCGGGGAAGCTGAGCATCGGGGACCAGATCATGTCCATCAATGGCACCAGCCTGGTGGGGCTGCCTCTCGCCACCTGCCAGGGCATCATCAAGGTGGGTGCCGGGGACCTGCCCTTTCATCATCACTGCATTGTCATCCCCAGAGAGACCCAGGGACTGGCTGGGGGCTGGACACACAGCTACCATCGGAGGGACCTGGCCATCTAGGGTAGGGAGAGGAGGCCTGGTTTCACCCAGCTGAGTGCTGAGCCACGTGACCCAGGGAGGGGCCCGTTCCTGTGGGTGTGGGGTGACTGGCTGTCCCAGTTGGTTGGGATGTTTCCATTTTAGCACTGGAAGTCCCACCTGCTCTGGGCAGCCCCTCAGTCCTGGGCAAACTGAGTGGGTACGCATTGCTGGGAGGCAGGCTTCTTCCTAAGGAAGAGAGGCTGCTCTGACCAACCCATGAGCTCACAGCCTTGGGGGCAGCTGAGCGGCCCATCCCTGGAGGGTCAGCAGAGGGGACACAGCAGGCTGGGGTCAGGGCCTTCATACTGGCCTCTCCCATTCTGTGAGAGCCCTGGGCCCAGGGGACAAGCAGGGGGCCTTGGGCTGGCCCAGCTTCGGCCCTGAGAGCAGCACCTTTGCTCTCTTTCGGGGACCTCAGACAGCAGGCTCCGCCTGTCAGTGGGCCCCTCTGTCTGCAGTCTCGCCCCAGCCCTCACGGGCTCCTTCCCGCCCCCTGCTATGGACTTAGTGCTGGAGGAAGCACTTCTCTCCTCGCTGGTCCAGCCTGAGAAATGAAGGCCACTGTTGAGGCTGTCGCTTGGAGCTGGCCCGCAGTGTCCGCCTGATGGACACACATGGGGAGAGGCTTCCATCCAGCAGGGGCTGCACCCGGGACCCTCCCTCCTGCAGCAGTGGGCGTGGGCCACTCTCCATGTGCCTCTGGGGTCACTGCCATCTCCAGGCGGCTCCAAGCGGCATCCAGGCTCATGCCTGGCTAGAAGGGTGCAGCTGGAACTGCAAGCGTGTAAGGCTTGGACTCCGCCACCCCACTCCCCACTCAGCCCTCAGAACTGTGGCCTGGGGTGCCCACTGACAGTCACATCGTCTCTGGGGCCTGGACACCCTTGGCTCCAGGCTGGGTCTGTCTGAGCATGGCCCCCAGAGCCCCGGCCTGCTGCTCACAGTTTTCACTGCCCATGTCTCTCCATACCCTGGCCCCTTCTCCCCCATCAGCACAGCAGCTCCATCACTGAGAGACATTCTGCTTTGAGAAAGGAGGCCCAGAGTTCTTCCAGTGAGGAAGTTCTCCTACATTTGGGTGTGACGAGGCCCCTCCCATGGACACCTGTGAGTGACCACGGTGCCTGGCCTGGGTTCTGTGAGGCAGCACTCAGCCCGGCTCCTGGCGGAGGGCGACTTGTGTCTGTCCAGGTCAGAGGGCACCGAGCACAGGGTGGGAGTCACATGCCCACTACCTCCTTAATACGTAGCAGCCCAGGGTGAGGGGCAGGCTGGCACTTTCCCCTCGGTGCAGAGGGGATACTGAGCCTCTGAGCAGTGACTGCCTCACCCATGTTCTCACAGCCCAGGGTGGGAGGGCAGGTCCAGGCTAGCCCGGTGGCCCCAGGTCCAGCCTTGGCCTTGGTCAGTGTCAGGAGGGTGTGCTCATAGGCATGTAAGGTTGCGTGTGATGCTGTGACTCACGTCCCCACACTCTGCAGGGCCTGAAGAACCAGACGCAGGTGAAGCTCAACATCGTCAGCTGCCCTCCAGTCACCACAGTCCTCATCAAGCGGCCAGACCTCAAGTACCAGCTGGGCTTCAGTGTGCAGAATGGAATCGTAAGTCCTCCTCTCCTTTCCTGGTTGCCCCCACTGCATGAGGCCTGGGTCTGGAGACTTGGCTGTGGCAGCTCTCTGCTGCCCCTGCCCGTGGAGCTGCCCTGCCTGACAGGGCAGGTCAGGTGCCCAGTGCGCTGGCAGCCAGGACATGGGCTTCCAGTGGCTCTGGGGCAGGCTGGCGCTGGCCTAGGCCGGGAGGGCTGGGGCGTGGCCTTCATGCCCTGCCCATGGCACCTTTGCCCCTGTGGTGGCTGATCTTAGCAAGCGCCTTCCCCGATGGAGAGGGAATGGCAAGAGGCTCCCTGCCATTGTGGTTGGGACACATGCAGCCAGTAGCAGCACCAGCCTCACGGTGGGCAGTAAGCAGATACCCAGGCATTTGTTCTTTCATTTACTCATTCATTCAGTTATCCACTCCTCATTCAGCAAACAGCCATGAGGTACCTGCCTTGTGCCAGGCACTGGGCCAGGCACTGAGGAAGTGGGAGGGCTTCAAGGAGGCAGTGATGCTGGGCTTGAGTGAGTCTGGCCAAAATTCTGTGACTGGTCCCCGGCCAGACTTCAGCTCATAGCTTCCCTCTTCGCTTTGACTGCGTTTGGCTGGTATAAGTTCGTTTCCTTGGTCTTTCCTCCTGCAGAGGCCCCAGGGATGGGCCATGGTCACAGACGGAGGGCAGGAGAGGGGGGCCGGGAATTCCCCAATTGACCAAGCCAGCCTTGAATATTAAAGAGCAGGGGAAGAGAGCAACTTTGGTGGGGTGGCAGGAGTAGAGGCTCCTTTTGGCCGGGTCAGGGGTGAGTGGCTTGGAGGTTTGAGAGCAGTAAGGGACAGGGGGCTTCTCAGAAGGGTTGGGGAGTGTTGAGCTCAGGGAAGCAGAAGTCAGATTCCATGGGGCCTCAAGTTGGGGAAATAAAACAGAGTTCTGAAGACCACATTGCCAGGGCCCCTCTCAGGCCATAGATGCCTAGGGAGGGGTCCTGTGCGGGGCCTCAGCAGCTTCTTGGTGCATCCGCTACTGCTGCGGGTTCTGAGTCCTGGGTGATGGGAGGACCTAGCGTGGGGGAGTGGTCAGTGAAGTCTGGGGGCTTGGGTCACTGCTGTGGACAAGGAGCAGCTCAGGCGGGGAGACGTCACAGACCTTGGCTGGCCCTGCCTGCTCGCAAGCTGTTGTTCACCATGTGACCTCAGCTTCCCCATTTGCGAAACGGGCCCCCACTTGCCTGTGGGTCCACAGCTCGTGTGCAGGGCTTCATGGGGGAGGCCGGCGGCTATAAGAAGGGTGTGTGATGGTTGCAGTGGGCTTTCTCCCGGATCTACCCAGCCGCCCGATAGTGCTGGGGACGGTTTGCAGGTGAAGTGAATAAGTCTGCAGGGTACACCCTTGTCATGATGTCTCCCTGTGACACTGAAGACGGAGTGTGGCGGCTGCACATGTCAATCGCACATATCTGCCTGGCCCTGAGGCCAAGGCCTGGGGTGACTGCCACAGGCTGTCCGCTTCCTCCTGTCCGAGCCTTGGGACTGCGCCCTTGCACAGTGTCTGGGTGCTGAGGATGGGTGTCTGTGGGCACTCAGATGCAGGCTCCCACGCAACTGCCACCCATACCTGGCAGTGTCACCAGCCACAGGCCGGGGTGCCCACCGCCCAGCCTGCCCAGCCGTCTGCCTCAGCCTCAGAAGCACCTTGGGCTTCACCACTCAGTGGGATCTCGTGGGGGAAGTGAGTTTAGAGAACATCCAGGAGGCCAAGGGTGCTGGCTGCTCCTGTCCAAGGGTTTGCCCTGGGGACAGAAGAGCCATCCCTTGCTGCCTACAGTGTGGTAAGGATGGCCCTCGGCCTCGGCCCCTGCCCACCTGCATCCCAGAGGGGCCTGGCTTGGTCACTACCTGCAGTCCTTGCTGCCCTGGCTGGCCTGCAGCGGCGGGCTTTCCTGGGGCTCACTTCTTCCAGGCCTTCCCAGAGGCACGCTAACTCAGAGACCACACCCACTTCCCGCCATCACACTCTGTTGCGTGGTGGAGTGGGAGAGTGAGCATGTGAACTTGGCAGCACATGACCAGTGCAGAGGCTGATATATCTGTACCAGGGCCCAGGACATCAGCAACCAGGTGACCCTCTCAACCTCCCAGTCTTTAGCCCCCTGGTTGGCCAGCCCCCTTTGGCTGAGACCACGGGAGCACTGTGCTGCTGACAACCAGTGCCACAAAGCTGTGGTTCCTTGAGGCCCCTGGAGAAGTTAGTCGTTATCCACATTAGTTTTGCATAAACGGTTTCCACTTTTAGCTTCGTTACACCCAGAGCACATGCGTTAGTTTGCAGAGAGGTCCTGGAGAACCCAGTTAAGGCTCTTTGTAAGCAGATCTCTCCCCTCTGTACCCATGATACCTGTCAAGAAGTCAACTGGTCTCCACCTTGGAGGCCCCAGCTTCCTCCTGGGCAACATGCTCTTGAAGTCAACCCAGGCCACGACGCCGACTCCTGCGGGCGTGCCTTGTTTTCCCTGCCCTCCGCCAGCCTGGCCCAGGTTCCAGGCCTCCTTTTAATACCTGGCCAGGCGGCGAAGTGACCCAGGCCACCCTGAAGCACCTTCTTCAGGATCTTCAAAGAGCCAATTACGTTTGAAACAAAATACCTTTAAATTCTTTGGAGAAGTTAATCCTCAGTGCTTGTGTGGGATGTTTGAGCATCAGGTCACTGGAGCATTCTTTGACAGATGGGTGTGCCCCCTTTGTGGATAAAGGTGGCCATAAGGCCCGGCTGTCTCTGTCCACTCCTGCTGAGCCCACACGCCAAGCACAGGCCCCACGGCTCCTGTCGGAGCAGCAAGAGAGGGGCCCTGGGCGTGGGGAGGGGCGGCTGTGGGCCCCACACTGTATCCACAAACACACTGGCATTTGGGAAAGGCCTGTGCATCTGTGACGGACAGACTCAGAGAACAAAGGGCAGGCAGGATCTTGTGGTGGGTTCCAGGGCCGGCCTGTGGTCAGTGGCCTGTAAGCCTTGCTCAAGCCCTGAGAAGGAGAGTGGGATGGGTGGGGTGGAGCGTTCCTGTCTCTCCAGCCAGCTGGCCCCAGGAAGCAGAGTCTTCCGGCCACATCTGGTGACCAGGCCGTGGCAGGGCACCTGGCTGGAGGAGGCCATTGAGCAGCATGGCTTTTGACGGTGGCCCGTGTGCACGGCCCGTGTACCGACACAGGCGGGCACCCCTTTGAAGCATCTGGGCTGAGGGTGGGGACGTTGTCCCAGAGCCTCCAAAAAGAAAACCTCGGTCTCTGAGGTGCCTTTCTGCCTTGTCTTCTACAGGCAGGTTGATCCTTGACCTCCTAGGGTACCGACTGCCATCTTCGCTCCTTGGCTTGGCTTGACACCCCACCCCCACCCCACACTGGAATTTGCTTGGGTAGCTCTGGGCCACAAGAGTCCCATTTGGGTGCAATTAGCTCTAAGTTCTCCCTCTGATAAGGAGATTCTCAGGGGCGAGTGGGAATGGCAGCAGAGCAGGTGCTCTGTGTCCACTTCTGAGCGGCCCCCTTACACACATGGGCACTACGTCCCTGGGGGAGCAGGGAGGCCTGAGGTGTGGACGGTGCTGCCAGCAGCCCACTCTCTTCCTGGATTGGCCCTCTTGTGTGGCCCTCATGGAGGGCTAACTCCACCACTTTATGACAGGTAGGCCTTACCCAGGGCACTCTGAGTTTGTCAGGCGAATTTGGCCTCTGTCATCTTTCCCCTTCCTCCGACCTTCTGGGCAAGCTCAGGTGGCTGAGACCTTATCAGATAGAGGAGGTGGCAGGGCCCAGAGAAGAGAGGGGTCAGCCCACCCTGAGGGGCTGAGGCAGGGCTGGGACCCAGAGGCCTGGTCCCTCCCATTGGCTGCCTGCACCCAGCTCCCACATTGCCTCCAGGCCACCGGCCTACTCTGCCTGGACACAGACCAGGGGGCTCGGGCCATGCTGGGTGCACAGATGACCTGGCATCTCAGGAGTGTACGCTCCAGCAAGGTGACCCGTAAACATGTGAGGGCCGCGGACCCCTCTGAAGAATGTAGCCACCTCATGGTTTTGCGTGAGATTTTGAACACGGGTTATGGCCCCTGTCCTGTTGGGGAGAGGACTTCACTCCTGCACATGTGACTGCCTGGTGGCCCTCGTGAAGGGCTAACTCTGCCCCTTTATGACAGGTAGACCTTACACAGGGCTACTGCTTGGTGCAGGAATTATAAAGGAAGGGCTGGCCATGCCCAGGAATAAGGCCCGGGGGGAAGAGATCTCAGCTGCGGTTTGTCATCGTGGAATTGGGAGCGGCCACCATCAGGAGCCCCTTGAGAGCCAAGGTGTGCAGGATGCTGAGGAGGGCTTGGAGCAACAGGGACAGACAGGGATGGGGGACTGTCCTGGAGAAGGCATCTGCAGCCCAGCCTGGGACTTGGAGAGGTGTTTATTTTGAGAGCAAAGCCCATCTGCTGTACATCTGCTGCTGTTTGCCCCTCCCTTGAAGGGGTTATTTAGAGAGGACTTTTCCAGGTGAGGCAGGTGCTCCCCCTGCTGCAGGTGGGTGGGCAGGTAGGGACAAGGGATATTTGTCTGCTCCTCAGAACAATTGCTGCTGCCACTTGGCAAGTCCTTATCATGGACCAGGGACTGAGTTAAACTTTTTAAATTAGATTGTTATTTTTAACAAAGTGATTCTTGTAAATGGTTTTTAAAAATTCCAACCGTACTGCAGTGCTTACAGTGAAATCCAGCAATGCCTGCTCTGCCTCCTTCCTGTTCTTCCCTCCAGAGGCCACACCTCCAACCCCTAACAGAACCTTCTAGTTCTTCTGTCTTCTAAATCATGCCCTTATGCTGCCATCTCTTTGTTTTTCAATTGAAGACATCACGCTTTCCTGCTGTGGAAGATGCAGGTTAGCTGACACCTCTCATGCACATGTATTTCTGCTGCCCACCAATCTCCCCCAGACAGGTCTCTCACAAGTCAGCACTGAATCTGTATTCAGCGTTTCCGTTTTGGTGTCTCTGTAAGGGTCTGTTCATAGGTGACTCACATCATGTGTTAGTTAGGGTAATGGCTCAAACGGGATAGACACGGAATCTCACTCCTGGAGCAGTCCCAGGGCAGAGTGCCAGATTGTTGGCAGTTCTGTCCACCGCAGACGCAGCTGGGCCGTCCTCAGCATGTAGCATCCAAGGTTGTTCATGTTCCCAGTCCAGCCAGCCCAACAGAGCAAGGCCCAGGGCCAGAGCTGTCCTCTCAAGCAAGGGAGCAAGAGGTTGCACGTTATCACTCAAGGTCACATCCCATTGCCGAGAGCTTGGTCACATGGCCACACATGGCTGCAAGGGGACTGGGGAAACAGGGCTGAGCTGGCAGCCATATCTCAGATCCGACTCTATTACCAGGAAAGAAAGGGAGACAAACTTGTGGACAGCAGTTTTTCCATTTTGTCTCATTTTTTCATTGTTTAGTTTTCTGTGCTGTTGTTGTTGTTGTTAGGAGCTGTCAAGTTAGTTCCAACGCATAGTGACAGAATGGAATGCTGACCGGCCATGCACCATCCTCACAATTGTTAAGCTTGAGCCCATTGTTGCAGCCACTGTGTCAGTCCATCTTGTTGGAAGTCTTCCTCTTTTTCACTGACCTTCTACTTTACCAAGCATGATATCCTTCTCCACGGACTGGTCCTTCCTGATAACATGTACAAAGCGCGTGAGATGTAGTCTCGCCATTCTTGCTTCTAAGGAGCATTCTGGCTGTACTTCTTTCAAGACAGATTTGTTTGTTTTTCTGACAGTCCATGGTATATTCAGTATTCTTCACCAACACCATAATTCAAATGCATCAGTTATTCTGCTGTGTACGTATCATTAATTTATCTCTACACTCACTAGTGTAACTTTAAAATCCCTCATCGAATAACTGTTGCTTGTATTTTCTCCCTGGAGATTTACCTACTGAAATTCTTCATTTTCCTGCTGCATTCTGGATTGGGTCCTCTCTGTGAGGCCTGTCATAGAGCTCCTCACCAGATTTCTTTAAAATGTCACCTGGGAATTCCCTTCACTAGTTTTCGGTGTCCTATGCCCTGTGTCTGGGATCCCCATGTCTTCTTTCATGGTTTATGCTTTCATTTTGGTGGAGCAGTTCCTTCAGTACTTCCTGAGAAAGAATATATAAAGGAAGTATTTTTTTGAGCCTTTGCATGTTTGAGAAAATCTCTTTTATTCTACTCTCATAGACTTAAGTGATAGTTTGGCTGGGGATAGAATTCTAGGATGGAAATGTTATCGGTTTAATTGTGTCCCCCCAAAATATGTGTTGTAAATCCTGATCTCTGTGTCTGTGGTTATAATCCTATTTGGGAATGGATTGCCTTTGTTATGTTAATGAGACAGGATTAGTATAGGGTATGTCTCGAGTCAGTCTCTTTTGAGATATAACAGAGATTAAACAAGCAAGCTAGGAAGAAATGGGGGATGAGAGATGCAAAGCCACATGAAGATCTCCAAGAAACCAAGAAGCAGAAGCTCAAAAGAGGCAAGGACCTTCCTCCAGAGCCAACAGAGAGAGAAAGTCTTCCCCTAGAGTCAGCACCCTGAATTCAGACTTCTAGCCTCCTAAGCTGTGAGAAAATAAATTTGTTCGTTAAAGCAACTCACTTGTGGTATTTCTGTTATAGCAGCACTAGATAATTCAGACAGGAAATAACTTTCAGTTAGGACTTTTAAGGTAGTATCCATTGTCTTCTGACTTCTAGGTCTGTTGTTAAAAGGGTGATGCCCTTTGGTTCTCCCTCGATTGTATGTAGTTCATTTGTGCTCATTGGAAGCTTTTAGAGTCTTCACTTTGTCCCCTGGGTCCTGAAATTTCATGGAGATGGGCCTTGGTATGTGTCTTTAGTTGTTCATTGATTTGTGCCCTTTCAGTCTGGAAATTATGACCTTCAAATCAGAGTGGTTTTCTTTTCTTCTTTCTTTGAGAGTTTCCTGTCCTCTGTTGAATTTTTCTTTAACTGCTGTCATGTTTTAATGCCCAAGAACTTTCTTATTCTTGGAAGATTATGTTCTGGTTTTACAAATACATTACCTTTGCTTTTCTTTCTAAGGCTGTTCATTGTAGTTTTTGAAGGTTGTTTCTGCCCCCTGTTTCCGTTTCTTCTGTGATCTCGTTTCTGTCTGCTTTGTCACTTGTTTTGGTCTTTTCTTTCTTGCTAGAAGTTTTTCTCAAAACAGTTGGTGATCGTTGACTGTCCATTCTTTTTTTATTGTGTTGAAAATATATACTACAAAACATATGCCAATTCAACAATTTCTACATGTATACTTCTGTGACATTGCTTACATTCTTTAAGTTGTGTAACCATTCTTGCTATCCTTTCCCAAATTATTGCACCACCATTAACATAAACTCAATGCCCCCTAAGCAAAAAACTCCCCTTTCCCCATCCCTCCCTCCCTTGGTGACCACTAATAATCTTTGGTTTCTATATATTTGCTAATTTCATATAAGTGAGATCATACAGTATTTGTCTTTTTGCAACAGACATTTCACTGTGGCAGTCTGCTTCTGTAAGGATTTACAGCCTTGGAAACCCTATGTGGCAGTTCTTGTCTGTCCTATAGGGTCGCTATGAGTCAGAATCAACTTGATGGCCCTGGGTTTGGGTTTTTTGGGTTATTTCACTCAGCTTCGTGTTTCCAAGGTACATCCATGTTGTGGCATGTATCAGGACTTGGTTTATCTTTATGGGTGGGTAGTATTCCATTGTATGTATTTACCACATTTTGTTTATCTATTCATCTGTTGAAGGACATTTCGGTTGTTTCTACCTTTTGGCTATTGTGAATAGTGCTGTGATGAACATTGGTGGGCAGGTTTCTGTTTGTGTTTCTGCTTTCACTTCTTCTGGATATATACTTAGGATTAAGATTGCTGGGTTATGTGGTATGATTGTCCATTCTTTTTAAAAGGCCAGCACTGATTGGAAGCCTTGTGTGCATAGGAGAAACTTGTTGACTGTTTGGTTTTGCTGTAGCCAATCAGATGGAAACCCAACCATTTCTTGTCTTGGGCAAGTCAGCTTCTCCAGAGTCTTCTCCACACCTGCCTGGGAACATGGGGGTAGTAACAGCCCGACTACCACTTCTCAGGTTGCTGGCTTAAAGAAAGGTCCCTGGGGTTCTCACAGTTCAGAATGTGAACTTTCACTCCATCCCCCCTCCGTTTTTGTTCAGCACACACGCCTGCCTTCTGTAGTGCTGAGGAGTCCTCAGCCGAGAGCCTCTCCTCCCAGTTCCCTAGAGACTAAACTTTCTGCCTTCCGCCAGGGTGGGAGGGAAGAGGTCGCCTGGCTGCGAGGAGGAGAGGGGTACTTGGAGGTCTAAGTCTTCCTCATGCGTTCTTTCCACTGGCCTCCCAGGTCAAGCCCTGCCATGGTGCTTTCCTTCCCACTCCTTTAGGGGTTCCGCAAGCCCAGTGCTGCTTCTGGTGAGCCCCGCAGAAGGCTCTCTGGGTGTGGTGTCCCCTTCCCCCCACCAAGCCATGCCCCACCTGCTTTCCGTAAGCTGGCGGTTCTTGCCCCCGGGGTCTGTGCCTTTTCCCTGTTGTCTACAGTAATGCTGAGCTTGACTGATGCCTTAATATTTTGTGAATCTCACAATAGAGTGGAGTCAGGCATTTTCTCAGTCTCTTTCCATTTGTCAGGTCATTAAATCATCACCTTACCCCTCATCCCTTGTGAAGCAGGAATGGTCATTGTCTTTGCTTTAAAGGAGCACAGTGCAACCGACAGAGAATCTTCCAGAATATGTGCTCCTGACCCCACACCCCCTTGGGCGCTCCGTCGCATTACCAGCACTCCACACTGCATGACAATGAGGGATCCAAGGCCCTGGAGGCTGGCCGGCTCCTGGGGGTGGAGGCAGATTGCACTGTGGTGGGGGCTGTTCTGAGGGCCCGGAAGGTTCTCCCACATGCCAGAGCCTTGACTCTTTGTTGTTGTTGTGAAGGACTGTGTCCTCTGCAGGATTGATTTCTCTGTCTTGGGGGATGTGGACAAGTGCCTGGTGGGTGGGGCAGGTATATGTGTGCTGACCTGTTATGTGTCTGGTTAGATTTGCAGCCTCATGAGAGGGGGCATCGCAGAACGAGGCGGCGTCCGCGTCGGCCACCGCATCATCGAGATCAACGGGCAGAGTGTCGTGGCCACAGCCCACGAGAAGATAGTTCAAGCCCTATCTAATTCTGTCGGGGAGGTAAGACTTGCTGGCTCCCTCCCACCACCTTTCTGGGACCAGGGTCTGAGTCCAGGGCCGTCTCAGCCCATATGCGGGGTGTATGATGTGCTCAGGAGAGCCATCAGCCCCACCTAGAGACAGTCTGCCCTTCTTAAGGACCGGGGAGTGTGTCTGTTTGCTGGCTCAGTGTGACCTCTGCCAGCCAGCCTCTCTAGTGGGACACTGGGCCCCAGCAGGGCTGGCCAGGCGGTCCCCACTGGGGAGTGCCTGTGACAGTATGAGCAGGGTGGCAGGCCGCATTCGGCCCTTCGGTTCTGCCTCTGTGGAACTGTGCAGCCGAACCTCTCAGCAGACTGGAGAGCAAAGGCAGCCGGATGGAGCTCCTTCTACTGTGCTTCCAGAACTGACTCATACACGCTCAGCTGGGGGCTGTGGCCCTCTGCAGCACTGACCTGCACATGGGGCCCTGGCATCATGGAAGTGAGTCCCCTGCTGCCCCACTGCCTGCCCTCTCCTGCCCACACAGCAGGCTCAGCTGTGGCTGCTTGACCCTTTCCTGCTTCGCCAGCTTGTAACCTTCCTTTCCTTCTGGCTCTTTCTGGCATCAGTCTTGTGCCAGCATGAGGATGGACAAGCATATGCAGCGGAGGGGCACAGTGTTCCTTAAGGGGCCCACAAGTAAACCAGGGTGACTCAGGGTAAGAAGACGCCAGTGAGTGAGGCCACAGCACATGGGAAGGACGCCTCACCCAGTGTCAGAGAGAGAGAGAGAGAAATGTGTGGATGTGAGTGGGGGGGGGGGTTGGTGGGTATATGAGTGTGTATGTGTCTCTGTGTGTGTGGGTGTGTATGTATGAGTGTGTGAGTGTGGGTGTGTGAGTGAGTGGGTGTGAGGGTGTGTATGTGTATATGTATGAGTGCATGAGTGAGTGTGGGTGTGAGTATATGTGTGAATGTGATGTCTATGTGTGCATCTGTGAATGGAAATGTGAGTGTGTGTGGGTATATGAATGTGTGTGATGTGTGTGTGAGTATATATGAGTGTGATCTGTGAATGTGTGTGATGTATGAGTGGGTGTGATATGTGGATGTGTGAGTGATGTGTATGGATGTGTATGTGTGATGTGTGTGGATGTTTGTGATGTGTGTGTGAGTGTGATCTGTGAATGTGATGTATATGAGTGGGTGTGATGTGTGTGGATGTGTGAGGGATGTGTATGGATGTGAATGTATGTGAGTATGATGTATGTGGATGTGTGTGTGATGTGTGGATGTGTGAGTGGATGTGTGTGATGTATTTGGATGTGTGAGTGTGATGTGTGTGGATGTGTGAGTATATGTGAGTGTGATGTGTATGAGTGGATGTATGTGATGTGTGTGGATGTGTGAGTGTGACGTGTGAATGTGTGAGTGATGTGTGTGGATGTGTGAGTATATGTGAGTGTGATATATGTGGATGTGAGTGGATGTGTGTATGATGTGTGGATTTGTGAGTGTATGTGTGTGATGTATGTGTGTGAGTGGATGTGTGGGTGCGATGTGTGGCTATGTGTGAGTGGATGTATGAGTGGATGTGTGTGATGTGTTTGGACATGTGTGGATGTGAGTGGATACATGAGTGTGAGTGGATGTGTGTGTATGCGTGTGATGTGTGTGAATGTGTGAGTGGATGTGAGTGGGTATGTGTAGAGGGTTGTGAAGGAGGTAGGAAGTGAGTGGGTTGCCCTAGGAAAAGCGTTGGTGATAGCACAGAGGGTGAGGCTGACGAGGTGGGTTGGGAGGGGGCCATTGTGAAGAGCATGGGTGCTGGGCAGGGAGTTTGGGGTGATTCTGAGGGCTGTGGGGAGCTGGGGGCATTTAAACAGGGCAGTGGCTAGCCCACACAGGTATCTGTGAGCACGCCCTCCGGTGGCTGGTGGGGAGAGGGAGTGGATTCCGGCTCTGCGGCCTATGGGGTGGGCGAGGGTCTGCCTTGGCAGCTGGGTGGGTGGTATGGGTGCTGTGTCCTGAGTGTCCCTTCAGATCCCATCCCTTCAGATCACAATTCCTGAGGCCCTGGCGGCCGGCTCCATGCTTTGGGAAACTGCCAGGGCTGGGAGGAGGCACACTTTCTCCCTGGGTTGTGGTGGCCACGGCTGCCTTTCAGGAGGAAGAGGCGCCAGGCAGGCACCATTAGCCTCCTTTTATAAATAACTCCTAAGAAAGGAGAACCCAATTTTTCTAAGTAGACTCTGGAGATGACCATCCCACCGGGTGATCAGCTACACATGGCTGAAGAAATCAGTTGAGTGCAGTCAGCTGAGAGTGAGGAAAAACGTTTCCCGCTCTTCCCACCTGAGATGAATTGATATTCATTGAGCTGCGAGAGCAGCCAGGGGCCTTGTAGCCCTATGGGCCGGGCCTCCTCAGATGTGGCTGGGACAGCTGGAGATGAAAGTGTCTGCCTGCATTTTCCATCACTCTTAGCACATTTGAAAGATTAGTCACTGATAAGATCTGAGGTTTCGATGAGTCTTGGGGGTTGGGTTTCAGACTGAGGAATTACAGGGAGAGTCTTCTGATGGAAAGAGCTATCCTGGGGTGAAGGAAGAGCTAACATTTGAAATGAACTGATCAAGGAATCCTGGGGCCAGTGTGTGGGGTGGGGGCGCATTGTGACAATACAAATACAAAAATGCATCTGCGCCTGTTTGACATATCGGTTCACTCCCTGTCTGCGTCTGGGCTGGTCACATCCGCCTGAGACCTGCTCGCCCGAGGAAGAGCAGACAGGGCAGCTGCACCTCCCAGCAGTGCCCAGGCCAGCCAGATCTGTCCGGGTGAATGCCCACCTGCGGGGTCAGGGGCCCTGGGCTAGGCTGCCCATGGAGGATGGGAGAACTGTGGGACCAAGCGGAGGAAGTGCAGGGGCCATTGGCCTGGGCTGGGGTCAGTGAGGCAAACCTTGCCTGACCTGTGTCCTGTGGAAGGGCTCCCTGACTCATTTCCCTCTGCACAGGCATGGGCTGGCTGCAGAAGCCTTTATGAGCAGGAGGACTGGGATGTCTACAGCCAAATGAAACCATACTTCCTCTGCTCAGGGTAGCACCCCGTCTGTCGTTCACTCCACAGATAGCTCCTGTGCTCTGAATTTAGCCATGTGCAGCTTAATTTCCAGTTGGAGAGAAATTGGGGCTTCAAAAGGAACAAACAAGGGGCAGGTAGCGAGAAGGTAGAGCGGGGTTCGAGACCAGGAGGTGGGGTGGGAGCCATTGCAGCTGGGCTGTCAGGGAAACAGAGATGGCCAGGGCCCTGGGTGGAGGGAGGTAAAGAGGCCAGAGAGGCCAGGCCAGGGGACCCCAGAAAACTGCCAGACAGGGCTGGTCTGGAGGCCACGACACAGGGCTGGGAGTTTATTCTGAGGCCCTGGGAAGCCTTGTTTTAGGCAGGGAAGCAGTGGGTGTGCTGTGCATTTGAAGAAGTTGTGGAGCAGAGGGGAAGGGAGGTGTGGGGATGGATGGAGGGACCCCAGTGGTCCTGGGAGAGCAGGCAGGGCATGAGGGAGAGCTGAAGCGGGTGGGACCCAAGGATGCCTCCCTCTCCCCTCGGCAGCTGTTCCTCCCTCCCTCCTTGCCGCCAGGGTTTGGATGGGAGCTGGAGCTCTTCCCCTTTGGGCTGGTTGAAGAGGTGGGGGGTGTGCCCCGTCCCCTCCTGGAGCAGTGGTGCCACCCCGACATTGGGAAGGGTCTGGGCTGCCCAGGAACCTAAACTGTCAGCTGAGCCAAGCCGAGCAGGGGTCACTGCCCACACGTGGGCAGGTCACACTTCTCACTCTGGTAGACTCTCGGGGACTTTTCACGTCAGGCTGGCCGTGGGAGGGGAGGGGGCGCAGGGTGTCCTGTGCTCAGCCTGCTCTCCACCACCAACAGATCCACATGAAGACGATGCCTGCCGCCATGTTCCGGCTCCTCACGGGCCAGGAGACCCCACTCTACATCTAGGCTGCGGCCTCACCGAAGGAGCTCCACCGCCGGGCCCCAGAGGCACTGGGCACTTGGCTGCAGCGGGAGGCCAGGATGTTGGGCCGACCCCGACCCTCAGCGTCGGAGGACTCGAGCTTCCCTGGTGGGCATGCCCCCACCCACCCTTTTTTTTTTTTTTGGCCAAGAAGGGGTATGTCTCTATCAAAGGAGAGTCACAGAAACAGAACCTTTGTAAAACATTCAAGTATTTTGCCACATTCCGAACTGTTTCCTCAGTGACTGACGAGGGTGTTGTGTGTACTCTGTGTGGTGTAGAGTGTGTGTCTTTTCTCCTTGAAGCTGTAGTGGACGTGGGTATCTGACGGATGGGCGAGGACAAGGGCCGCTGGGGAGGCCGTGACTGACTCTCTGTCCCCCCACTGGTCCCCTGGAGGCCCCTGACGGTACCAGATAGGCGGACTCTGCCACCGCTTTTCAAGAACATGGACAGCGCAGCCCCCAGGGTGACTTGTAATTAAAGTTGGGAACACGGGACTGGTTGTCATTATTTAACAGGAAAGGAGGCATTCCTGAGTTAAATAAAGAGTGATGGCCGCAACGTGAAAACTCCGTATTTATTTAGGTGATATTACTGTTTTTGACTTTAATTTTGGCAAATTGTTCTTCAGACTGAAGGGTTTTCAGATGACCTATGACCACAGCCGTTACTCCTGCCTCTCCCTATAGTCTCTGTGAAGTTACCTGGGCACCCCCCGCTCCCCGCCACAGGGCTGGGGACAGCTCATTCTCCTCCCAGGGACACGGAGAGCACCTAGTGTCTACGGTCGATGGAAAATCTACCTGGACACGCACAGCCACACACGTGCCGCCCGCCCGCCCAGATAGTCCCCCGCAGAGACCACCACCAGCTGCTGCATTCCCCGAGCAGCCGGCGATGCGTGTCGGTGACCGGGTGGGCAGGGCGCTGTCACCATCAGCAGCGTTCACGCGTGTCGGTCCACTAACACATAGTCTAGGTAGATTCATTAGAGGTCAGCGTTAACTGGTGTCATTTTGTCTGGAGCCCCTTTCTTTGGCCCAGGCCGTGAAGAATACACTGTGACTTAAGAAGCCTTACCTTGCAGTATCTAAAGCTGTAGGATTCCTGTATCTGAGGAGTAACCTGTGTGTTGCATGCAGCTGACCTTAGGAAGACTTCGCTAATATCGCCAATAAACCTGAAGTCCTGATGACTAGCTGTCCGTGTGGCTGGTTTGTTCACTGAGGGGGACCCTCCCCGCCAGCCCCTAGCCGCACCCCTTCGCATGTGGCCCTGTAAGGATGCCTTTGGGCAGCAGCTACCCCGTGAGCTCCCCAGCGAGGTCAGAGGGCCGGTGCTGCCGTCACCAGTGTCAGGATGAGCACCCCGTAGCAGCTGGAAGTGGTGGCAGGCTTACCAGGTGTGCCCTGGGTTCTCCACCCACCTGTCCTGGGGAGAAGACACGGCTCTAACTCACAGCTCTGGAGTGAAATTTAATCACCTCTGGGAGAGGTGTGTGTGTGTGTGTGAGTATATTGAGTGTATGCGTGAGTGAGTGAATGTGAAAGTTGTATGTGTGTGTTAGTGTGAAAGTGTGTTAGTGGGTGTGCGTGTGTGCCCAAGTATGTATGTGAGGGTTTGTGAGTGTGTGTACATAGCTCCCTGTCTCCGTGGCCACCCACACTGGTGCCTCCTGGTATGGAGAGGCAAGGGGGTAAACATGGTTTTGGTCAGAGGCCTGGGGGGATGGCCCAGCCTCTGAGCCTGGGGACCCTGAGAAGGTAGGACCCTTTTCTCTGGCCTTACTACAAGTGACCTGTACCCCTCCCATGACTGTTGACACAACCTGCAGGGCCTGGGATGCAGGTCAGCCTGACAACCTGCCCCTCTCCCAAAGCCTGTGAATTAAACACCTACGCTCTGTGCCGGCCAGCAGCACATAGAAGAAACAGCCTTTCAAAGCCGACCCCAGTCTGTGCTGTCCCCTGCTGAGTATGCGGCGGAGACCCAAAGAACAGCACGCAGCCGGACAGACGGCAGCATGTGGGTGCCCGCCTGCACGTGCTCTCTCCCTCTGACCATGCCGGAGGACGGAAAACAGAATAAAAGTCTTCCCTTTGCCAAGAAACAAAAGATGCTAGCCCAGGATGGCCCACAGCCTTGGGTAAGGAAAAGAAACATCGTGAATAAAAACAAGGGGAGAGACCTCCTGCCAGGAAAGCCACAGGCCTGAGGACTGGAATGGGCTCCAGAGAGGAACTCCACAGCCAGGAGGGACGACGCAGCAGCCCCCACCCCCCAAAACACACACGTAAATGGTCCACAGTAAAAAGTCCAAAGGGCACTGAGCTGTCTGTGGCTCCCAGAAGCCCTCAGTCATCCCACTCAGACAGGCAGCCGTGGACACCCAGGCGCCTGCCCTCTGCCCTCACACCCCCCCCCCCCAAGACCTGACCCTCTCCAAAGTGATGTTGGGAGACATGGTGATGCAGCCAGGATGCTTCTGCAAGCCTGTGGGGCCTGTCCCTCATGGCCGCTCACTGGCAGAACCCCCATGCTCCCGGCCCTATCACCGTCCAATGAACCCTGCAGGGACACCAAGGCCAGAAATACTTTTTATTAAAACACTGATTATTAAAACACTTTGAGGTACATTAAATAAATACAACCTTCGAGTTGTACAAATAGGTCTATTGTGGCTTGAAAACAATTTCCTATAAATTCTGCCTTAGCAGCATCTGTGAATCAGTACAGCAGAGGGGAAGGAAAAAAACTCACTGAAATGAGCTTTTCCTTATATGATTTGTTACAAGCATTTAGTCTGTATGGTGGTTTTCACGCTGAACGAAGACCTATGTCCTTATGAACGATGTGTACCCCCACCTTGTTGACCACAGAGTTGGAGTCCGGGGCCTGCCCACCTCAGCACCCCACAGCACCCCGGCCGGGGTCAGACAATCTCCCAAAAGGCATCCGCTCTTGAGGGTAGACATCATTGGGCCACTGTGTCCTGGTGGAGACCGTCTGCTTGGTCCTGTGATGTCCTCAATGCAGAGGGGACGGACGCAGGTCACGATGGAGGGGAGGGTCGCCTCCAGCCCAGCCCCAGACAGGCCATTGCAGATGCCAAAACATGGAGATGAGCAGACCCCTCAATGGGCACAGGTGCCACGAGGGCTGTGGGCCACATGGACTGCCGGCTCTGCGTGCTGCTGCTGGGGCTTCTGTCCCGGGGCACCCGAGCTGGCCGGGGGCGCCTGAGCTGAACGGTCACATGGCCAGCCATTCCCTGGCCACTGTCACCCTCGCCCCTCTCTTCTCAGGATCTTGCCTGGCATCCTGGAGCCCTCCTAGTGCCCACGCGGCCCCCGGGCCCTGAGCAGGTGCTGAGGAGGGCCCAGCCTGGCTTCTCACCTGCCCCCACAGCCGCCCCCAACAGCCCTATTTCTCGGGGCAGAAGGCCAGGTTCCAGCCCAGCAGGATAAAACCAGGTGCAGTTTCCCCATCTGCGAAGTGGACTTGCTATGACAGCAAATACAAAAATGGGTGTATGGGGGGCAGGGGTGGCGGGGAGGCAGAGTACCTCAGAACCACAGGGAGCAGAGGCAGCGGGGACACAGGCGGCGTCCACGCCACACCACTGGGGAGGCCCAGGCTGGGTGGGGCATGAGCGCAGACTGCAGGAAAGATGCACTGCTGGACTGCAGAGGGGGGAAGGCACAGAGGGCTGGGCTGGGAGCCTAGCATCTGCCGTCTTGGCCAGAGGATGAAAATACTGATGCTCACGTGCCCCATCCCTGCCGCCACCCCAGGGGTTGAGTCAAGGAGTCGCAGCCAGGTCTGAGAACTCCAGGTTCAGCCCCCAGGGGTTCAGCTAGGGACAAAGCTGTGTGAAGCCCCACGCCGAAGTGTGGACCCCTAAGCAGGAGGAACCTGGCTCCCAGCCCAGAGACTCTGAAAGTGGCCTGATTCCGAGGCTTGGGCTCCAGGATACTAAGGCTTTGTTTGTGGGCTTAGGGGTGGGGGATCTCTGACTTTACCTGCAAAGGGATTTGACTTGTCGGGACTTCAAAAGCCCTCACTTGAGAACAGTTAGGGAGTATGTTTCCCTCTTAATAGTCTGAATAAATTCATCTCATAGTATTTGTCTCTAGACTCTCTCGTGGAAAAGCTGCGATTTTGGTCAAAGGCCTGATTCTAGTTTTCTGCTGCTGTTTTAACCCCTGGGAGGCACTGACCAGCAGTACTAGTAAAGCTATGTGGATGTCACACTGGCCACAGCGCTGCACCCCACACCTCAGCTCCCGCCCGGCCCCGCACCTTAGCTACAGGGGGCTGGAAGCTGGGGATGGGGGCGAGGAGAGGCACAGGCTGCACAGAGCAGAGGGAAGGCGGGAGCAGGTGTGGCCGCTAGGGCTGCTGGGCGGCTGGGCAGTGTGGGCACTCCACCTGCACTTCCGGCTGGGCCTTGAGCTCCCAGAGGAGCCCTGGAGGGCCTGGGTGGCTTCATGCAGCCCCATGGTCCTGTATGCTGGTGGCTCCTGGTTTGACGGCACAGATGCAGGCATTGCCATCACTGCAGAGAGCTCTCCCAGAAGTGGCCGCCTCTGATGTAGCTAGAACATGAAGGGCCAGGGGCCGAACGGCCATCTGAGAGGCGGCTGGGCTGGCTGCTTCTGCATCACCAATATATTGCGTGTTTTTACGAAAATAAACGATTACAACCTCCATTCTCCAATGCAGGTGAGTTTTTTGCTGGCCTGGCTGGGAAGGGGCTGCACTGGGTCATCTGAGACTGGGTTTATCGGAAGGTTCACATGTCCCAGAAAGACGACCTCATCCCCCAGACCTCAACCCACTGAAGCCAATGGGTTATGGGCTAGATACAAGGGAAACCCCCAAATGAGTAGTGGCTCAGAGTAGGTGCTTATGATTATGGAATAAATTGCAACAACGAGTTTCCATTCCCCACTTGAATCAGTTAAAGGGTGGGAGCCAGAGGCAAAAGAGAGCACAGAGAGGAAGTGGGGAAGGGACCCCCCCACAGACGGAAGGCTAAGAAGGGGAGACCTGGGAGACAAGGCAATGGGAGGCCCATCAAAGCCCCTTGCCACACTCCTTTCTCTGCCTCCCAGGGGTGGCCAGGCCCCCACGGAGTCCAATATTGTACATCTGTTTGCACAACAGGAAACCCTGGTGGCATAATAGTTAAGTGCTTCAACTGCTAACCAAAAGGTCGGCAGTTCAAATCCACCAGCTGCTCCTTGGAAACCCTATGGGTCCTATAGGGTCGCTATGAGTCGGAATCGACTCGACGGCAACGGGTTTGGTTTTGGTTTTTTTGGTTTGCACAATAGCCCTGTAGCCACAGAGTCGAGCCCAGGCTGCCACCTATGCTAGAATGACCTATTTAAAGTTAGACTATGAGGAAAATTTGATTATAGAATGACAAGCCACCCACAGAAATGGCCTCATTACTTGATGTCAGCCTCCATCCACTTAACACTGAACTAAACTGAGGGGGTGTCCTGCTTTTGATGACCCTGGTTTTGGAGGTATCTGGGTGGTGCAAATACTTAGGCACTCGCCTACTAACAAAGGTTGGAGGTTCAAACCCACCCGGAGGAGCCTTGAAAGGAAGGCTTGGCAATCTGCTTCTGAAAGGTCTCAGCCTTGAAAACCCTATGGAGCACAGTTCTATTTTGCACACATGGTGGCGCCATGAGTCAGAATCGACTAGATGGCAACTGGTTTGGGGTTTTTTTTGGTAGGGTCTTTAAGTTACATGAGTATCGCCTGTCACTGTATTCTTTTCTGTGTTATGTGCATTAGTTCAGGGTGACACATACCCAATAAAACTGCAGAACTCACTGTGGGTACGAGAGAGTTTTTCTGTATTCTGGACTAGGTAAGTAGTGTGATCGCTGAGAAAACAATGGATCAGTCCATCTCAAGAAAGGAAGTAAGAGCTCTCTGCCCAGGTCGCCCCGGATGCTCACGTGTGCCCCCGTGCTTCTCCTCTGCCAAGTCTGCAGCTTCCGGAAAGAACGCTTGCGGCACAGGGACTGTCCATGTCGATGTGCAGACACAGGGTCCTTCACACCTGGTCCAGAACGCTGGCGCTGAAGATGGCTTCGTCTGCGAGGCGCTCATCAGGGGCGACCACGGAGTGGATGGCGCGTACCACGTGCCGCACCTCAGCAGGCAGGGTGCCACGCGCGTGCTCCAGGAACTTGGCCACCAGAACCCTGGTGTCCGTGTAGGCCTGGCTGTCCACCAGACAGCGAGGACACTGCTTGGAGTCGGGCTGCGAGGCCTCTGGCTTGAACTGTTGCTGGCTGGTTTTCCAGGCACTGCTTTGTTCTCCCAGTGGGGAAAGAGGGTGCTGATGAGCAGAGGCAGCCTCGGCAGAGCGCGACGTGGGAACTAGTAACAAAGGGGAAGACACCATTGAAAACAAGCAAAACGTCATGCAGCTGTTAAACACATTCCTTAAAAGGCAAATGAAAGCTGCTTGGGATCAGCTTTCTGCTTCTGAGACTGGCGCGCTGGGCGTGGCCCTGCTTCCTGGCCCCTTCCCCTGTGCAGCCAGGTCACCCTCAGCTCTGCATTAACCTGGAGGGGCCACGCTCTCCTGGAGGGTAAAAGGCAAGGCAGGGCAGGGGAGGATCCCCTCCAATCCATCTGTCCACTCAAGTCCCCAAGCTAAAATGCCCCCTCACCCCCCTCCCCAAGCCAAGATCTGGAAGCAGGACAGTTTCAGACTGCATGAGGGACCCTTCTCAGCCTTCCCTAGCTCAATGACCTTTTTCCTTGGGGGAGACACTGCTGTGTGACCATGGCAGAGGGGTTCCCACCTACATGTGCAAGTGTGGATAGCAGCCACCTCTCGGGGCAGCAGGACTCAGACACTAGGCCTGGGCCATCAGGCTAATGGCCAGGAAGGGGCACCATCCCCCAGCAGGGTGGCCACCGTCCATGACGATCCACAGCACAAACCCTGGCCTGATGGCACCTCGGGAAGAAGCCAACTCGGGGCAGACATCTGTGAGTGATGCACCAGGGACTAGTTAGGGCCCGACTTGTCTACACTGAGTTTCAAGTAGCCCAAAGGGAACACGTTCTGGTGGTATGGAGCATTTTTGGTGGCACTGAGCAAGCTCAGCAAGTAAACATGAAAAACTGAAAAAAACTCACTCAGGGGCCAATCAACTCCAGAGCAGACGCCCATCAATAAAGTGACATAGCAACCATATGTGCATTCAGGTAGTTGCAGCCTCTAGTAGGTTCCCACCCAGAGAGAAGGGAAATGCCCTTGATCTCAGCCCAGAGAGATGGATAACTCCCATTCCTGGGGGACACGTGGGGAGCTAGACTGGAAAACAACACAGCAAATGACCCGTGAGTCTCCCCACCTATATCTCATCAGGTGTCTGTGCAAAGTGTTAGAAAGCGAGCATCTCACCCGTCCCTCGAGCAGCCTGGCACGTCCCTGCTTCCAGATCGCGAATGCACACGAGGGTATGTAAGCAGGCACCACCTGCATCAGAAAGAAAAGTCCATTAACACATTCAAGGGAAAAATGATTTACCCACCAAACTATAATAACCCTCCCGTGGCTAAGAAATGGATTGTAGCTGCCAGACAAGCAGGAGCTAGCTCCAGAGTTTACGCTCACCTGAACACAGGCAAAGCAGGACACCCCTGCAGCTCTGCTCACCATCAGTCACGCCAGCATCCCCAGGTCCAGGTCCTTCTCCAGTCCCACCCCCACCCTCCCTGCAGCAGGCTGAGTGCCACGAACGACAGCAGTGCCCCGTGCAGGCCGGGCGTCCCTCATCTGAACACCGAGCCACATCTGAGTTCCCCAGGGCCTTGGACGTGTGGAATAGTAACAGTCTCCTCTAAGCTCAGAGAAGACAAAACATCAGGGCCGTGTGGCCGGATGCAGAGAAGGACTCGGGGCCACTTTCACAGCATCATCAAACCACCCATCCCTTCATTCTCATCCCTAAAAATGTCATGGCTCAGAGCATGAAGTTCACTTGTGGACCCTGAGCACGCCCAAACACATGGGCTCCCTCAAACTCCATGCATGACTGCAAACAAGGAGGAACACGGGTTGACCCTAACAGGGCTGAGTGAACTGTCCACTCTAACAGTCAGGCAGGGAGAGTCCCACACAAGCTCCAGGGCACACACGCAGCTCTGCCAAGTGTGCCAGGACATCGTGTTTAAAACACACCTGTGTCGCCCCACCCAACCAGCAATGTTACCAAGACATGGCCATGCCTGGCAGGGCTCCACAGCTGGGCTGGTACTGGCATTTCCAACAAGTATGCAGCCCCAGGCCACTCCTGGGTGCCAAGCCAGGAAAGGCTAACAGGAGCTGTAAGTCCGGGGTGGGGCACCCAGGCTCTGCGCTTGAGTAAGGTTAACGTTTGGGGCTGGCTGACCTGCCGAAGCTGGGGGAGCCCAGAGAGCTGCATCTCCCTAAACCCTCACACCCCCTCATCCCCTGGCCTGGGCTGTTTACTACCTCCAGGCTCAGGGTCCAAGCGTTCTGTGGTGATTTGGAGCCTGATATCAAGACCACAGTCCCAATCTCCCCACACCAGGCAGGGATCCCAAGGCCGGCCTGGGCTCTCAGAAGACACTGGGCCAGACCTGCAGCACCAGGGCAGGCCGGGCGAACCTGCGGGGACATCGGTGGGCCGGGGACACCGGTGGGCCGGGCCCACCATACCTGCCGCGGCAGATGCGCACGAGGTGGGGTCGCTGGCAGAGCGGGCCACGCGCCCGGGACCCGCCCGCACCCGTGCGCCTGCTCCGGGGCCCTCTGGGGACGCGCGGCCCGAGTGGCAGTGGGGAGGCGGGGACCGCGGCGGCGAGTGAGGGGCGCCAGGGCCATCAGGGGAGCAACAGCTCAGCTCTGGCGCGGCGGCGCGCTCGGCGGCAGGGAGGCTCGCGGGGTCCGCTGGCGCTGCAAGGCAAGACCGCACAAGTTAGGGGCGCGGCCGCCCTCCCTTCTAGATCCCAATCCTGGGTACACTCTGAAACCTTGGGGGCTTAGTAATACTGACAGAGGCTGGAAAACGCTGCTCCATGGTGTTGAAGGGCTGGGGGGCACCAGGTGACCTCCCAAGAGTCATCCCAGGAGGGACAAGGGGGGACTGACTCAAAGACTAAAAAACAGGACAGGTTTCTCCTTTTGTCATGGGGTGATGCCTCCCCAGGGATTGGAAGTTTCATATCCCCCATCCAGGCCATCCCTTGGGGTGTGGGTGGGCACCAGGATGCCATCAGGGTCACCAGGAAGCTTTGATGGGCCAGTGGGGCCCATTCAGAGAAAGGCAGGGTGCTCTGAGGGGCTTTAGGGCATCTCAGCCAGGTCCTGGGGGGGCCTGAGACTCTGCCTGCCCACACAGGGGTGTTACCCTGGACCTGGAGTACATCCCCTGCTCCGACCGGGAGAAACCCAGTTGATGGGCTAACTGCTTTGATTCTCAAAGTGCGGTCCCCGGACCAGTAGCATCAGCATCACTTGGGAATGTGTTAGAAATGCAGATTCTCGGGCCCCACCTAGCCCCATGGACTCAGGAACTCCAGGGTGGGCCCAGCCATCTGTGCTTTCACAAGCCCTCCAGGGGCTTCTGATGCCTGCTGCAGTCTGAGAACTGATACTCAGTCCAGTGATGCTGGCCCAGACTGGTAGCACTGGCTCCCCTGGGCTGCACCCCAGATAGCCTGATCGGAACCTGTTTTAGAGAGATTCCCAGGGAGTCTGTACCCACAGAGAAGTGTGAGAAGCTCTCACTTTCCCCTCTTTCTGCATCACCAGACACCTCAGAGGTCCCTGCCATGAGGCTAACTACCCCACTGGGGTAGATACTGTGAGGTGTGTGGCCTGAGTGGGGGACACTTTGTTAGAATCCCAGCAGCCTGAACTCCTCCAGGGATGGTGGCTTTGGGGTCTGTTCCTTCCATCCCTTTCTGTGGGTTCTAAGCAGGAAACCGTGGGAGAGGCCACAGCCAAAAGTGGCCATGTGTAGATGCTGGCCTTTCTGTCTCCATGCACTCCATTCCCCTGCCCTGTGTGCCTGAGCTGGGCTAAGGGCCTTTAGAGGCAATGTCCCACCTAGCCCTCACCACCCACCTATAAGCCAATCCCAGTCACTGCCACACTACAGCCCAGGAAATGTGGCTGAGAGAGGCCTCATCAGCCACCTATGAGGCAACCCCACAGTCACTCCCACTCCACAGCCCAGGAAATGTGGCTGAGAGCCCTCACCACCCACCTAAGACAACCCCACAGTCACTCCCAGTCCACAGCCCAATAAATGTGGCTGAGAGAGGGCAAGGAAAGAGGGTCACAAAGCCACTAAGTGGCTGGAGCCAGCTGGAAGCAGGCCAATTCTAGAACGCTCTTGCTTAATCACCCCCTCCACTGTCCACCGCTGCCTTCCTCGATACCTGGTGAGGGAACATTGCAGTCTATTTGGAAAAACAGAAAGATGAACAGTACTTCACACATCACAAGCAAGAAAAAAAATTCTTCAGAAAGATTAATCTTACAACCCTTGAAGTGGAGAAAGCCTTTGTAAACATGACAGAAACCATAAAACAAAAGGTTGATAAATGTGACAATGCAAAAGCTGTAAATGTGTGTATGGAAAAAGGCATCAATAATGGAGGAAAATTAAAGGACAACCTGGGAAAGCATACTGGCAATGAATTGGAAGAAGTGCTCCTCTTATACGTTATCTCATACATATGTTTAACAAATGTGCTTTTCTTATAAATCTATGAAAAGATAAACATGGCAAGAGGGGAAAAAATGGACTTAAAATTGAACTATAAATGGACAACCAAACCAAATTCGTTGCCATAGAGTAGATCCTGACTCATGGTGACCCCATGTATTTCAGAGTAGAACTGCGCTCCATAATGCTGCTGTGTTGCTGTTGTGTGCTGAAGAGTCTATTCCAACTCCTAGCGACCTTACAGAACAGAGTAGAACTGCCCTATAGGGTTTCCTAGTCTATAATCTTTACAGGAGCAGACCGCCAGGTCTTTTCTCCCACAGAGCCACTGGTGGGTTTGAACTGCCAACCTTTCAGTTAGCAGCTGAGTGCCTAACCATTCTGCCACCAGAACTCAAACTATGTGTGTGTGTGTGTGTGTGTGTGTGTTTATCATGTATGCCTATAAGGGTGATAAAGATCACCAAGAATGACAATGTCTTGTGAGCTCGTATGCTCCTGGTGGGTATGTAAACTAATGATAAAATCTTTCCAAAATGTACTTTGGCTAATATACCAAAATAAAAAATACACAGCCCCTTGGACTCAGCAACTTCACTTCTAGGAGTTTATTCTAAGAAAATAATTGAGCAAATGCTCAGAGATGAATGTGTAATGTAGAAAAGAAATAGAACTTTACCATCCTGTTAGAAAATTTCAAACCTATACATTGTGATTATTAACTTTATCAAAATTATCAAATTTTTATCAAAATGCTTAGAGTAACATAGGGGGCCAGTTACGGATACTGCCTAGACATAACCAAACACATTATGGGATTGGTTTACTAGGTTTGAAGGCTTAGGACCATAGTCTCATGGGACAACTCAGTCAACTGGCATAACATACTTCGTAAAGATAATGTTCTACATCCTACTTTGGTGAGCAGCATCTGGGGCCTTCAAAGCTTTTGAGAGGCCATCTAAGATACAACTAATGGTCTCTACTCATCTGGAACAAAAGAGAATGAAGAAAACCAAAGACTCAAAGAAGAAGCTAGTCCTCAGGACTAATAGCCCATATGAACCACAACCTCGTCTAGCCTGAAACCAGAAGAACACCATGGTGCCTGGCTACCGCTACTGACTGTCCTGACCAGGGACACAATAGAAGGTCCTGGATAGAAAGGGAGAAAAATGTAGAACAAAACTCAAATTCCTAAAAAAATGCCTGAGTTACTGGACTGATAGAGACTAGAGGAACCTGTCTTAGGCTGGGTTCTCTAGAGAAGCAAAACCAGTAAAGCGTATAAATATATATATAGAGAGAGATTATATCAAGGAAACAGCTCACGCGATTGTAGAGGCTAGAACGTCCCAAGTCCGTGGATCAGGGTAGAGGCCTCTCCCAAGTCACACAGCTGCAGAAGCTGGCAAGCCCAAGATTGGCAGGTCGGAGAGCAGGGCTCCCACTCACAGGCTGTGCAGATCGACAAATCCCAGGTTCGGCAGACAAGCTGACAGCTCAAGTCCCAAGAATGGGAGATGAGACGACAGGAAGCAGCCACAGGATCCAGAGAGAGCAAAAAGCCAGAACGTCTGCTTATATACAGATGCGGGCCACACCCCCAAGGAGACTCCCTTTCATCTGATTGGCACTCACAGTATATTCAATCATGGGAGTGATTACATTAAAACACGGAGAATCACGGCCCAGCCAAGTTGACACACAATCTTAACCATCACAGAACCCCTGAGACTATCGCCCTAAGACACCCTTTGAACTTGGAACTGAAGCCACTCCTGGTGGTCACCTTTCATCCATATAATAGATTGGCTTATAAAATAAACAGTATCACCCATGAGTACTGTTCTCCCTTAACTAATCAACTATATGAGACCAAATGGTCAACATTTACCCTTAAACAAAGATTAGAAGGTAAGGAGGGTCAGGGAAGCTAGATTAATGGAAACAGAACAAACAGAATGGAAATAATGAGAAAGCTGACACATTGTGAAGTATGTAACCAATATTATGGAACAATCTGTATAAAAATTGTTAAATGCAAACCTAATTTGCTGTGTAAACTTTCATTTAAAACACAATAAAATAATATTTAAAAATGCCTAGAGTATTTCATAGCAGTATATTAAAAATATTTTTAATAATATTCATTCTTACTGATTCCTCTTGATCCCAATTCTCTCTGAATGTCAGTGACAGTTAAATGGCTGAGTGCCTCAGGGCAATGGAGTCACGGGGAGACCGATGTGAGTCAGCTGGGAATGTATGAGTGTGGGGGTATATAAATGTACACACACACACACACACACACACGCACATACACGTGCACATACATACATATAGTAATTGAAAGTAATAGCATTAGTATAACACTATAGGAGAAGCTCATGGCCCCAAACTGGTAATTCATTTTTTTGTATACTTGCACCCAGGTTGGGTTGTGTGCCTATGTTTTTATAGCAGTCTTAATCCTAGTGGACTTCCAGTATTTCCCCTCATGGATCGCAAACATTTCTCCTCGTTAATGTATAATAATGTAGTTAGCATATGTAACCTATCTCCCCGACTCTTCTCTATTAATGGACTTCATTATTCTCCCAAGGTTTTATTATTACAAAAACACAACAACCACCATCTTCAAGTGTGGTGTTTTCTTCTTTTGCGGTACTGCCCTAGCATGGTTCCAGAAGTGAGAGCACCACATCACAGGCATAAACAATTTTATGGCTCTTTATCCAAAATGCTTTCCCAAAGAGATGGGTCAATTTATAAGTGGCCAGTCAGGACTGGTGGTAGCAGCTCCTCTCTGGCCTTGCCAGCAGCCATGTCATTACTATTTTGCTTTTTTTTTGAATTAAATTTAACTTTTTATTTTTATTTTTTGTTACTATTTTGTAGCCCTGGTGGCACAGTGTTTAAGAGCTCAGCTATTAACCAAAAGGTCAGCAGTTTGAATCTACCAGCCACTCCTTGGAAACCCTATGCAGCAGGTCTACTCTGTCCTATCGGGTCGCTATGAATCGAAATCAACTCGACAACAACAGGTTTTGGTTTTGGTTACTATTTTGCTATATTAATAGATGGAAACAAACAAACAAACAAAAAACCAGAATCTACAAGAACACTTCTAGAACCAATAAGTAAGTTCAGCAAGGTTGCAGAATACAAGATCAACACCCAAAAATGAACCAGCTTTCTATCACATAATCAATCACATATACTAACAATGAACATGCAGAAGTGGAAGTAAAAAACACAATTTAAACTAAAAATCATTTACAATCACTCCAAAGAAAATGAAATACTCAGCCATGTACTTAACAAAAACATGTATAGGATCCATATGCTGAAAATTACAAACTGTGGAAGAAATATATGAAAGAAGACACAAATAAATGGAGAGACATACCATGTTCATGGATCAGAGGACTCAACACAGTAAAAAAGTCAATCCTCCCCAAACTGATTTTTGTTTAATGCAATTGTTTAATCCAATCCCTATCAAAATCCCAGCAAGGATTTTGTAGACACAAACTTACTCTAAAGTTTACATGAAAAGACATAGCTTTTAGAATAGCTAAAATAATCTCTATCCAGTATTAACGCTTACTATATAGCTACAGTAATCAAGACTGTGGTATTGGTGCAGGGATAGATAAAAGATCAATGGAACAGAACAGAGAACCCAGAAATAGACCCATCTGATTTTTGACAAAGATACCAAAGCAATTCAATGGAGGGAGGATACCCTTTTCAACAAATGGGGCTGAAGCAATTAGACACTGTAGGCAAGAAAATGAACCTCGACCTAAACCTCACACCCATTACAGAAATTAACTGGTGGAAGGTGTCTTTTCTAAAGTTAAACCCGCTTGGCCTGCTATTCTGTGAGCTCCTGACCACCTGTCTGTGAGGGCTGCCCTGAGTCACAGGTCAAGCTATAGGTCCTGGGCAGTGAGGAGGGTTGAGCTCTACTAAGCTACTGACGGGAGCACCGAGACTCCTCCCTCCCTCTCTATCTGAATGGAGAGGATGTTCTCCTGTAGCCTCTAGGTAGCTCTGCTGTCCAAACCACATTTTCCTCCAGAACAAGGACTTCAGAGGAGTCATGAGGCTGGAATGTGGGGCTCCGCCATGGGCCCCCTCAGCCCAAACCCTAGAATGCAGCGGGCCCGTGAGGGCTACCCTGTGAGAGAGTAACTGGGACACACTGTGCCCTGGAGTAGCCCCTGGGAAGGCCATCAGTCATCACCTCTGGGATTCAGCTTCTGATGGCCCCCTGGAGCCACCAAGGGAAGGATAAGATGACTTCCAAATCCCCACACCTGCCGAGACTTGGGCTTCAGGAACCTAAAGGATGTCCCCTCCTATATCCCTTAGATGTTAACTAGGAGTTGGTGGTGGGGAAGGGAGCTCGAGAACTGTAATCGTTTTCCTTTCAGGGACCCTTGGTTATCTGATGAGTTATGTGACTTTGGTCTGAGTAAGCCCGCTCACATGGGCCTGCCTGAGGACCTCAAGAAGAAGACTCTGGAAATGCCCAGCCCTTCCTGCGCTTTGTACTGTGGCTCCACCCACTGCGGGCCAGTGGTTGGGTTTGGGATCTGCCATTTTACGTTTGTCCTTCAATGTCCTCCAGGCAGCAGGAAGCAGGCAGAGGGGCCCAGCCCATTCTCCTTCTGAGAAAGGAGCCGAGTGGATGTTGGCCTGCTACTATTTTTGCTCTGGAAAGGGTTGTTTCTGGAGCCTCACACCCCCTAGACTGAGTAGTGCTTTCTTCAAATTCATATCCCTCAAGAGAGAGAAGGGGCACATCCTCTCTAGCCCCGGGGGAATGTGTGAAGTCTCCCAGAAATACTGATTCATTGGAGGCAGGCTAAGAAAGAAATGTGGAGAATTTATATGGTACTTAGCAGGAAAGGCTGTAGCAAATTCCATCCCCTTAATGTATAAGAAATGGAGAAGGGAGTAGGGCGAGAAGAAAAAGGGGGAGAAAAAGAGACACATTTTGAAAAATAGAAACGTATAGCTTCATGTTAGCACTTCCAGTCCTGAAAGAGGGGAGATTACCTTGTGTGCTGAAGCCAGCTGTGGCATTTGGGTCCCCAGAGCTGGACTCAGTCACCTGCTGATCTATACGTGTCACCTACAGCAAGAAACATAAAGCATCAGGAGGTCTTCAGTGGGGCTTGGCTCAGGTGCACCCCGAGAAAGCACATGTACCACTACACACCATAGCAGCCCCCAGTCACACTGCTGATGTTAAAGCTGTCCTGACCGTCCCACATTCTCCTCTAATTTAGGGGTGTGTGCGAAGATGGAGGAAACCTCGTGGCGCAGTGGTTAAAGCGCTTGGCTGCTAACCGAAAGGTTGGTGGTTTGAACCTACCAGCGGCTCCGTGGGAGAAAGATGTGGCAGTCTGCTTCCATAAAGATTTATAGCCTTTGAAACCCTATGGGGCAGTTCTAACCTGGCTTTATAGGGTTGCTATTAGCCGGAATCGACTTGACGGCAATGGGTTTTGTGAAGGTGGAGACTTCCTCGCCAGACCAAAACCTATTTCTGTGACCATTTGCAATCAGAGCACCCCACATTCCCTGAAAGCCCACCAGAGCTGTGGTACCCCCTCCAGCCCACTCACCTTCCACTGATGGGCAGTTTGGAACCCACAAAGGCCCCACAGGATTCTCCGGGGTTGCCGTGCCCAGGCAGGACAGGCCTGCCCTCAGGTCCACCCACCTTCTTTCAGCTACCCTCTTCCTCTCTGTTCTCTCTCACGGAAGAGTAAGGCCAAGGGGATAAGCAGTCCTGAGCCCCATAATGTTCTGTGCTGGCAGAGTATGAACGCAGACTGGGCATTTAATAAATGGTTATTGCCTGAACCAACCTGAAACTCCCACAGAGCTTGCAGGCCTTCTCTTTCCTGTGTCCAACAGATGGGATCCAGAGGCTGCACCCCAGGCCGCCCTCCCCATTCTGACCTCAGGGCAGGGTCAGGGCTTACCCGGGGTTGGGGTCAGCTTGCACCAATGCCCACAGCCCAGGGAACATAGTACACAACCCATCACCTCGGTGGGACGGGAGCTGAGCCATTGCCATTGCAGCTTTCTTCTTAAAGCGACTCAGCACTGCCCTAGCGGAGGGGTAGCCGGCGTGTGGTGGGGCGGGGCGGGGGGGCGTCTCTGCTCTGCCTCGGCCCTCAGCTAGCACAGGGGTTCTGATCTCCACTCTAGGCCGCAGTGGCCCTGCAGCAGGCCCTGTATCTATGTCAGTCACGTGTGTGCTCCCCTGCACCCCTCTGCTATTTCAAAAAACGATTTCTGAGTCTTTGTGTTATTTCAGGATTACTTTGGGGACATGCTTACAAATAATGAGCTCCGGGGAGAGCCAGGAAGGTGCCAGGAGCCCCGAGGCTTGGTCCAATTACAGCTCAAGTAATTACATCGCGCCTCCCTTGGGGTCCCCACTTCAATCAGAGATCTGGCTCTTCATCCGCCCTCCTCAAGGCTTGCCATGGCCGCAGGTGCGCATAGCTGCAGCCCCCCACCAACACAAAGGGTGCGCAGGGCTGCAGCCCCCACCAACACAAAGGGTGCGCAGGGCTGCAGCCCTCCACCAACACAAAGCGGTGAGCCATCTGAGCTGGCAGGAGAGTGGCTCTGAGCGAGACCCACACTGGGCTCAGAGCGCTGCCAGTGGGCAGGAGACCCACTGTACCTGTCTTTGGACTCAGTGTATAGCTTTAGAATAACACCATCATACAAGCTATCATCCACCGCGGGTGATCTTTCCTGACATTCTCTTTTGGGGAGGGAACTGGGTGAGGAAGAATTAGCACCGTCCGCGTCCCTGCCTTCTCTCCTCTGGAGTCACTATATGCCAATAACCAAGTGTCTCAGTCATCTAGTGCTGCTACAACAGAAATACCACAAGTGGATGATTCTAATGAAGAGAAGTTTATTTCCTCACTGTCAAAGTAGGCTAAAAGTCCAAATTCAGGGCATCAGCTCCAGGGGAAGGCTTTTTCTCTCTGTCGGCCTTCTTCTCTTCAGCGGTCCCCCAGACTAGGAGCTTCTCTGCGCAGGGACCCCTGCCCAAAGGACGCGCTCTGCTCCCGGCACTGCTTTCTTGATGGTATGAGGTCCCCGTCTCACTGCTCACTTCTGTCTTTTATATCTCAAGAGATTGCCTCAGGACACAATCCAGTCTTGTAGATCAGGTCCTGCCTTACTAACACAACTGCCACCCATCCTCCCTCATTAACATCATAGAGGCAGGTTTACAACACACAGGAAAATCACACAGTACCAGGAATCATGGCCTAGCCAAATTGATACACACATTTTTGGGGGGACATAATTCAAACCATGACACCAAGATTGGAAATTTCTGCCAAAAATCTTCTGCTAACTCACACACAAAAGAACAATGCCCTAAACATTTGTTTCCTTCTGTATCTCTTCCCGTATCTAACTTTCTACTTGATTTTTTTTGGCATGGATGGGTGGTCACTTTGAAACCTGCTGCCAAAAAAAACTTTCTGTTAATAAAGAAACGTAAATAAAGAGAAATGAAATGCACCTTGGGACAAGGTCAGGAGGAAATTAGATTCATCTCATTTTGCAGAAGCATCACTCGGCTTCCCTGTGGCTCCCGGCAGTGGAATCTGGTTTGAGAGAAGACAGCTCCCGGGAGCACGTCTATTGCCTCTGGCAAGCAGGGTGGCCCGAGTTTAATTTGAATTTGGCCTTCCATGGTGTGAAAAGCCACTTTACTACCCTGAAGCTGAGGGGAAATGCTTCGGTTCACACAACATTTTTGATTAAATATAAAGGCAGTAGGAAAAGATGGAGAAGAAATATACTTGGGGCCTAGAATGTAAGTTGAAATGCGAGTTTAGTAGCGAAGGCTCACACACATAGCTCCTTCAGAAGGAGCAGGGCGAGAGACTGGCCAGAGAGGAGGCCCGGGAATAACCGACAACAATTCAAAGGCCCGCACGGACTTAGAAAGGCTATTTTTACTAGTCATCATAACTGAAAAACCAATTGGCATTGGGGCAAAGAAGCCCATTTTCTGTACATTCTCCTTCTTTTTAGAAAGCTCTGGGTCTGAGGCACACTGCATGGAAATTATGCCTTGTGTTCCAGGTTAGGGGGACACCTGCTGTCCAGAACCAGATTTATAAAGAGTTGTACTTTTGGAGGGGCCCTGGTGGCATAGTGGTTAAGAGCTTGGCTGCTAACCAAAAAAAAAAAACAGCAGTTTGAATCCACCAGCCGCTCCTTGGAAACCCTATGGTGCAGTTCTACTCTGTCCTATGAGTCAGAATCGACTCAACAGCAATTTTTTTTTTTTTTTTTTTTGTACTTTTGGAGTCATTACCAGCAGTCGTGGAAAATGCGAATTGAGATTTTAGGTGAATGTCTCAAGGCAATCTTTGAAGAGTCTTTGCTTACAGATTTTATAATGTAAAGTTTGGAAGTATAAGCAATAACTTGGAGCCTTCGGGGTTAGCCTGCCTGCTGTCATACTCATTGGCTTCCTCTGATAGTGGTCTCTGTACCTCTGGTTTCCCTTCTGCCCACATGTTGCCACCACATTCAATTTCCTAGAGCACTGTTGGTTCCTGTCAATCCCAAATGCCAAACTCTTCAAAGACACCCAAGTCATAAAATCTGTCCCCAAACTATTTTATGAATCCCCTCATGCACCTTCAGCTCCAACACCAGGGCTCCACGCTCTCCACCTCCACCTCTGCCTGACTCTGCCTCTCCCACGGACAGTCTCCCTCCTTCTGTACCTGCCTCCCAGTCCTACCCAAATTCCAGGACCAACTCTTCCTCTGAAGCCCCAGAGCAGCTTACGTGCACCTGTCCTACTACCCGAAGTCCTCGGGTGGTACAAACAGTTAATGTGTTTGGCTGTTAAATGAAAGGTTGGCAGTTCAAGTCCATCCAGAGGATCCTCGAAAGAAGGCCTGGTGATCTACTTCTGAAAAATCAGCCATCGAAAACCTATGGAGCACAGTTCTACTCTAACACGCCTGGGGTTGCCGTGAGCTGGAGTCAACTCTACACTAATTGGCACTGGTAGCACCACATTAAACTGTGAGTTCCACGAGGGAAGGCTTTCTAATTAATTTACCATTCTCTGTTCCTTGGAGTACAGCACAGTCTAATGGTCACTGGAATACACGCTGCCATCCAAGCAGGAATACCACACTTTCAGTGCTCAGTAACTGTCCTGCTAGAGAGACACCCACTCCTCACTGTCCTGCTGAAAGTGCAGTCTCAAGCCCTGGAGAGGAGAGCAGCATCGGCCGCTAAGGCAGAATGGAATATCAGCTGTAGCAGTTCACCCAGGTGAATGAGCCCAACAGAACATCCTCCAACATGGCGTCCTCTCCTTCCGGCAGTTGCAGCGTCTTCGGGAGAGTGGCGGCTCCGCCCCTGCACACAGAGCCTGCCGCCCATGGGCTGCTGTGCTGTCAGTCTGCCTTCCTCTTTCCCCAAACGAGAGCTGATAGGTCATTTATATTCACTTGTTCTAACAAGGGGAAGCAATTAACCTCCTTCTCTCCAGGGAAAGGGGTCGTGCGGCAAAGGGAGCTGCTCCTAGCTGTCACTGTCTATGTTCTCTTCAGGTGGGGCGGGAGAGGGCAGCTGGCGGCACAGCCTTCCCTCCGTGGAGGGTAATGGATTTCATTGACTTCCAGACGCTCAGAGGTGTCTGTGGGATTGAAAGTGTCCTGGGGCCACCAGCTCAAAGAGAACCAGCCTGTAGGCGTGGGCGGCCTCCCCCATGGCTGCAGCGGCCCCTTCCTCATCAGATGCTGCCTCCCTCCCAGAGAAACGCAACGCCGACGCGGTTGCCTCACCACCGATTCTTCGTCAAGGATGATGGTGCCAGGCGCTTGTAAACAGGAGCTTCTGAGAAAACGCACACAAATGTGAGGCAAGTGTCTGACCTTAAAGCTGGCCTCACCATTTTGTGAAAGAAATTGGAATGCAGAGAATTCCTAATCGTTTTGGAGAATGATTTCACATTGGTTTCAGAACCAGTATTATCATCCTCCAATATATTCTTCAGGGAAGTAGAATAAAATGGTGATAAAACGCCAATAACATATCTTTGTAGTGTCTGAGAGTGGTGTGGAACACCGACTGCCAATTTCAGTCTGGAAGCTTCTCTCCAGCACACATATGGATCTTTGAGCAGAAAGGGTGGCCCCCTGTCACTGTTCCTCTTCCTCCTTCTCCCTGGGCAGCAGCAGCTTTGAGGAGGGCAGTGTGCCCACAGGGCAGTGCTCAAGGTATTCCAGACCATTCTATAGAAATAGTTCTGGAAACAGGAGTAAAAAGTACACAAAGGGAGGACTGTGAGACGGACCTAAGGAGGCCCTTTTTAATCTCCTACTGCTGCTGTAATACAAAACACCACAAGTGGCTGGCTTTAAAGAACAGGAATTTATTGTCTCACAGTTCTGGAGGCTAGGAGTCTAAATTCAGGGTGTGACTCTAGGGAGGTCACTAGTCCCATGAGGTCCTTGGTGTTCCTTGGCTTCTGTCTTCCCCCATGTGTTCATCTCTGTGTCTGTTCTGGTCTTTCTGTAACTCAGAAGTGAAGGTTGAGGACCCACCCTACACTGGTATAACCTCATTAACATAACAAAGAAACTTGATTTCCAAACACGGTCACATCTACAGGTACAGGGGTCAGGAATTCAGTATGTTTCAGGGGGACACAAGTCAATCCATAACAGGCCCCCAGCAGAGCGACGCTCCTCTCCTTAAAGCGGTTGCAGAGAACCACATCCCCGGGTCTCCTGGTTCCTCCAGTCCATCTGCCTGCCGTCATCATCACGACTCCTCTTCTGGTTACAGAGCAGTCATCTCTTGCTGTGCCCCTCCCCCACCTTTTCAGGGCCTTCCCTCCATCGATGGTCCTGTCCCTGGGCCAGCTACCCCCTCACCCTGTGGCCCTTCCTCCATCTACTTTGTAACTTACTCAAGGCCCTACACCTACACTCCCCTCTAACTACTGTCCTACCTTCTCCCTCTTTGCCAAACATCTGGAAAGAGTGGTTGGAGGGGAAGGCACCCCTGAGGACACAATAGTTCAGCTGGGATCTGACGGCGCCAAGGAGGAGGGCAGAGGAGAGCACCCTGGGCAGAGAGTGGCTGAGCCTGAGGCCGGGGCAGGGCCCGGGGCAGGGTGGGGGACAGGGGCAGGGGCCGGAGGGGGGCAGACTGGAGCCCTGGGAGCCTCTGAGGTATCTGAGCATGCATGTCAGCAGTGATGTGATGTGGGGCAGAGGCCATCTGTTCAGGTGGGCTTCTTGGATTCCATGGGCATCAGAACACTGGAGAGTGTCCCTGATCATTTCAGGACCTTGGAGAGAGATTGAGATTCCCACAGAGACATCCCTGAGCCAGGGGAACCCTGGAGGGAGTGCAGTGCCCCTGAGAAGGAGGGGAACAACGTGTGGGGACAGAGCCCTGTGGGATGAAGACTTTGGAGGGGAGTAGAGGAATTCAATCCATAACAGCCCCCCCGAAAAGACAGGCTTCAGAGCAGGCTGAGCACAAGGAGTCTCCCAGAAAGATGGTAGAAGCCAGCATTCAGGTGTGGGGTGGGGAGGGACCCAGAGGCTGTGAGGGCTGACCCCTCGGTTCTACCTGGCTCATCATCAAGGGGCTGCTGGTGGCCATGAGGCAGGAGCTCGACTGCACTGGGTAGAGGATGGATGGAAGTGAGGAGGTACAGACAAGGGTGCAGACAAGTGGATTTTGACTCTAGTGCACATCAGAATCACCTGGGGGGCCTCTCCCAGAGCTTCCAAGTCAGTAGTTCGTGGTGGTGGTGGGGGCTGTGCTAAGAATCTGCATTCCTGTCGCCTTCCCTGCTGCTGCTCCAGGCCACACTTTGAGAACCCTTGGAGTTGACCAGTCTTTGAGGATGTTTGGCAGAAAAGTCAGGACAGCAGTTGGAAGGGAGTGTGGGTGTAAGGCCTCGAGGATGTCAAAAGTGCCATTTGGTACCCTGGAAGGAGGAGCATTCCTATTGCAGGTATTTCCCCTAAAGTGTGCTGAGGCTAACAGCCACTGGGCTCAGCGGCAGGGGTGTCCGGTCTTTGCTCCTGAGGATGCGAGAATTTGTCTCACAACCCCTGGCCTGTAGAGGGCACCATGCTCTTTTTCCCAGCGGCCAGAATGTAAACTGTCTCTCCATCCACAGCGGGTCTCCTACAGCTTGTGCCTGCTCAGTCAGTGGTGGAAAAGGGCCAGCCCTACCATGTGGGTACCCCCCCAGGGTCCCTGGAGCTTTCATAGGGGCAGAGAGGGCACAGGTGTGATGTCCTGGGGTCTGGGGCGGTCCGAGTCCCGCACTTACGCTGGGTGGTGACAAGGGGCCCCCTGCAGGTTGTGAGGGTGTCAGTGGAGATGCGCCTGATGTGAAGTTATCTGCACACCGTACAGGGGAGTGAGTCAGACAGGTCTGTGGATTGGGGGCAGATACCTGTTGGAAGAGCTCCCCTGGCTGCCGGAAAGCCCGGGGGCGAGGTTCTAAGAGTCTGTAAACCACACGGTGCTAGGCCTGCAGCCTTCCGAGCCTCCCCAGTGAGTTCCATCCGCTCCTCTGCTCGGAGTTTGGAGCCAATCTCAGTGTGCTTCCCCAGCTCCCTGCATCCACCATCCTGCGGCCTCCCCACAGGCTGCTCCTCTGGACTCCTGGGCTTCCCGACCACGCCAGGGCCACAGCCCTCCCTGTCATGTAACCTTCACATCTCTTGGTCTAGCTGGGATCATTCAGTGTTGATGATGATGAAGACTATGATCATAATAATACCAAAAAAGGGCAACCGAGCCTTGCTGAGCTCAGCACTTACCACACGCCATATCCCATGCTGCCACATTGGAGATGCCGTCCCCTTTCATCCTGGGAGCTTGGTTCTACTCTGACCTCACTTCACAGATGAGGAAACTGAGGCTCCAAGAACACATACTGAGTGCCTGTTAGGGGTTGTGAGCAGTGCCTGGGAACGCCCAGCTCTGAGAAGGTACCCCTGGGGGCTAAGGTACCTCCTGGCCCAGGCCAGGCCCAGGGATAGGAACTACTTTCTTACCTCCCCAGTAGATGGTGGCTGAGAAGTTCCTCTTTGCAGCCAGAGCTCCTTGGGAACTGAAGTGGGATGTCCAAGTACTGAGATCCACCCGAGGGGTCCCTGTCCTTGGGTGAGAACCTACACCAGTTCCCCTGTGTGTAACCCAGGCACATCAGCCAGTACTAAACTCAGACACATCTGAGTTGCAATGCAGGTCACAGCAGCTGAGCCGGGTAGCCCAGGGGAAAAGCACCCACATTGGGGTCCCCCAGCCGGGGCTGGCATCTCGGCAGCACACGTACCATTGGTGCCTCCTGGACAGATTCCACACCTTGTGCCTGGTGGCTCCACTACACCACGGGGCTGGGAGGAGCAGCAACCCACGGGTGCTGACAGGGCAGAGGTGCAGACGCACAGCGCCAGTACACAGCAGGCCCCGTATGAGGCAGTCCCAGTGCTACACATACAACCAACTCACACCCGGGCGCTGGACTACTGCGGCGCCAGGCCTGGAAGATCCTCAAGCACTGCACGGGACCCAGTCTTGTCTGGGACCTGGCCTCACCTGGCTGGCCGTGTTCTGACCCACCACGGCCTCGTAGGGTGGAGGGAGCTCGGCAGGGTAGAGCAGGCCAGGGCTGCTGATGGTGACATCGTACAAGGCGCTGAAGGGAGAGGGAGCAAAGTCCAGGTGCAGGCCCCTGCAAAGGAAGAAGCACACCATGTCATCCGGAGGGAGCAGTGCCCACGCTGGGGGCACCACAGAGTCCCCAGAACAGCGCCTGCCAGGCCCTCCCTTGTCCAACACTTATCACCCGTGAAATAAAAACCCAATTCACTAGGGAGTTTTAAAACTTGTTTTTTTTCTGGAAAGATATCAACATTTTCAACAGACTCTATGGTCCTGTCCATTAAAATTAAGATAATCATACAGCTGATTAAATCTTTAACAGAATTTTACAGGCTATATTAGTGAGTATAATCCAAAGGCAGTTTTGTGTTTTATTAGAACATAAGAGAACTACTCTTGGGCTGGATTTTCTTTTCCATCACACTGCAAACATACCAACAAAGAGTTTCTATTTCCAGACCACTCCTCCTTTCACCTGCCTTCTCTACTCTCATTCAACATGCTGTCATATCAGCTTGACTTCTCCACTAAAGAGAAACGTGGCTACTTCAACTGCCGACCTTCCAAAGCCTGCTTCTTATCCATCTCCCTGGCCTCAGCCCCAGACATGGAGGCAAGAGGGAGGACGAACCTCTGGGCCTCGGCCGTGGGCGTGTAGGTGTATTCTGGAGGGTAGTAAGGTGGGGGCGGGATGGGGGGGATGAACTCGTCGAAGTCCAGCGTCTGGTGGAGAACGGTGCCGTGGGGAGTCACGCAGGCAGGGTTGGCAGAATGGGGCCTCTGCGGGAGGAACTGAAAAACAGTGGGAAAGAGCCGATCAGCGTGATCCCGGACAGCTTGCGTGGCTTGTGTCTACTGAAGCTTATTATCCATAAGCTTTAATTATCCGTTTTGAATGTTTGAGATTGAAATTGTCACACCGTGACCATTAAGCACACAGTTTAAAAACCTGTCTCCACGAGGAAGCGTTGTCTCCGCAGCCTCATAATTTTGGTTCCCACAGTGCTTACACTGAATGCCTGTTTTCTGAAGAAAAACAGAGTCTGGGGAGTCTTCAGCTCTATTCCTACCACTAAGCCTGAGTACATGCCCCCAAAGGGGCCTGACGGCCACAGTTTAATACAGCATTCCCTAAGTGTGCTCCAAAACCCAGACCCACAAGATATTCCAAACCACCCCGACCCCCCCAAAAATTTCTATGTTGTTGTTATTGTTGTTAGGTGCTGTTGAGTCAGTTCCAACTCATAGTGACCCTGTGTACAACAAAACGAAACACAGCCTGGTCCGGCGCCATCGTCACAACCATTGTTATGCTGGTGCCCATTGTTGCAGCCACTGTGTCAATCCATCTCATTGAAGGTCTCCCTCTTTCTTGCTGACCCTCTACTTTACAAAGCATGATGTTCTTCTTCAGGGACTGGTCCCTCCTGGTAACGTGTCTAAAATATGTGAGACAAAGTCTTGCCATCCTCGCTTCTAAATTTCTATAGTTAAATATTTGGGGAATGCCACATACTGCACTCCCTTCTTGGAGCACTGCAGTGTGAGTGAGCTAAAGACCCCAAGAAGGCCTGTGTTGAAAAATGTCTTTAACTTTATTTAACCCAACATTGTTTAAATATTTAATTATGGACACCTTAAGGTGGCACAGTGGTTAAGTGCTCGGCTGGTAACTGAAAGGTCTCTAGTCTGAACCCACCAGCCGCTCCATGGGAGAAAGATGTGGCAGTCTGCTTCTGTAAAGATTGCAGCCTTGGAAACCCTATGGGTCGCTATGAATCAGAATTGACTCGATGGCAATGGGTATGGGTTGGACATACAATATCTATCAATATTTTACAGCTCCAGGGAATCCATACATTTTGTAGAGCATTGCTGTGAGGGAGAAGAGCTCCAGAATGTTCCAGGGGATGGCCTTAAAAACTGAAGTGGTACTTGAGTGAACTGTGAGGTAGCGATCACTTAACAAAATGCATGCTGTCTCTGCTAGTTTTCTGTTTCTGCTCATGGAAAAATCCTGACTGGTAACAGCTCAGAAACCCATCTTGGGTTTCTGCTTCCCAGATGCTACCATGGAGTGAAGATGCCTGAGACAGAGCTCCATGTCCAGTCAACAGCTCCCTGGAGTACCTCAGGTGAGAAAAGACTCTGCATTTTCCCAGCTCTCCACTCTGCCCTCAAGGGACTCCCCACAGCATGGAAGGAGGTAAGGAAGCAGCAGGGGTGGATAAGACGAGGACTTGAAGTCAAGTCTCTCAGGCCAGGCAAGGACAGCTGCATTAGGAAACAATCAGCCCTCCAAGCACTGTGCAGAAACCTGGGGTCCACAAAGGTTAATGAAGAAGATGACATTGGAATGGGTGTTGGAAGCTTGGTAGGATTTCAACAGGTAGGCTGCTAGGAAGGCATTCAGGAGCGAGAAGAACAGGTGATCAGAGAAAGGTATGTGTAACAAAAGCGATACAGAAGGCTCTACCAGTTGATTCTTAATTCTGGGGAAACTGGAAAGCCAGTGAGGGTGCTTGTCTGGAGAGCAGCCCTACTTAAGCTGTGTGGTAGGAAGTGCCTTCTACAGCACTGGGAAGTGTGGGCTGGAGTGTATGGAGACTGGGGCAGTAGAACATTTTTGCACCAGTATGGGTGAGGTCATGATCTGATATGGTCACATGCTGGGAAATACCAATGCTACCATCTGATGGAGAAAGAGCTGTGGCCACATCTACCCATGTAACACAGTCAGACTAGAACGGGTTCCTGCGTGGTCTCAGTCTTCTTAGCACACAGAGCATGGTCACTGCCTTTCCAGCTGGTCTGACCTGCAGCTTTGTCTGATTGTCTGTAATGGAGTGAAGCAATGGCTACAAACAGGTCTGGTGTGTGTCTGTCCTCCTCTATCTACCTTGGTGCTTACGGCACAAAGCTGAGTAGCTGGAACTAGGGTCGGTGTCCTTGAGTTCTAGCAGGGAAATATTTTACATTAGTCTTTATCAAATTAAAAAGATCAATAACATACTCAAGCAAAACTGATGAAATGCAGAAGGTAAAATCACACTCATATTAAAGGTACACTCTACTAAGAAGAACAACAAGCCCTTTCACGGGCATGTCTAAGAGCTCCAGCTGATCTTATTAGCGGGCTTAAGAGAGTAGACACTGCCCTGCACCAGGAGCTTTGCAAGGTTAAGCCGCAGGCTCCACACTTACTCTAAGCCCCTGACTGCCCTCCCAGTGTGTGCTGGCCGCCTTCATGGAAGCATCTCAGACTCAGCGTGTGTCACACCAAGCCTTTTACCTTTGCTCCTCAACCTCCCCAGTGAGACATCTGCCAGTCATGCTTGACATCTTCCTTCCCCTCCCTGCCATCAATGTCTATGAAATGAGGGCAAGGTCTGTCTCTCAGCCCAAGGTCACCATCTTTGCACTCTGCTCTGTGATGCTGGGACTGGAAGTCTGCAAACCACATTTCCCAGACTCCCTTGCCAGCCGGCTCCTGCTAGGTTCTGCCAATAGGAGGTGCTAGAGGGACACTAGAAGGCAGAAAGCTGGGAGAGCCATTGTTGCTGCGTTCCTGCTCCTTCCCCACTCCTTCCCTTCTGTTCGCCCAGCCCTAAGGGAAGTAGCTGCTTCCAGTTGTTATTAATCCCTGGCTAACTTCAAGCACCCCTTTTGCTCCTTCACCTTTTCACACCAGGGTAACCAACAACGTATTACCTTGTTGAAATCCTGAGGGTGATTCTTTTCCCACCTGGGTCCTGACAGCCCAGGGCCCAGTCTGTCTTACCCCACATACTCCCTGCACCTCGTCTGGTGCCTTGCTCACTGAGGAGACAACAGACTTCTCCTCACTGACACTTCCGCTCAGGCCTGTTCACCCCGTCTTTGCACGAGCATCTAACATGTCTCTCGGCCTTGATTCCTTTCTCTTGTCTCCATTATGCTAGTAGAGTTACTTTTAAACCAATCCGGTAAGGCCCCTCCCACTGGAAGCCCTTTACTCCCTCTACACCTTGCCACATGAGACCCTCGCTCACGAAATCCCAGTGAATGTCCAGCTTCCTGCCCTCCATCTAACTCGTGTCAAGGATTTTATTTTACTTGGATCCACAATTAACGACCATGGAAGCAGCAGTCAAGACATCAAAGGACATACTGCATTGGGCAAATCTGCTGCAAAAGACCTCTTTAAATGTTAAAAAGCAAAAATGTCACTTTGAGGACTAAGGTGCGCCTGACCCAAGCCATGGTATTTTTAATCGCCTCATATGCATGTGAAAGCTGGACAATGAATAAGGAAGATGGAAGAAGAACTGATGCCTTTGAATTGTGGTGTTGGCAAAGAATATTGAATATACCATGGACTGCCAGAAGAACGAACAAATCTGTCTTGGAAGAAGTACAGCCAGAATGTCCCTTAAAAGCAAGGATGGTGAGACTTTGTCTCACATAGTTTGGGAATGTTATCAGGAGGGACTAGTCCCTGGAGAAGGGCGTCATGTTTGATAAAAGTAGAGGGTCAGCAAAAAAGAGAAAGACCCTCAGTGAGATGGATTGACACAGTGGCTGCAATAATGGGCTCAAACATACCTACTATTGTGAGGATGGTGCAGGACTGGGCTGTGTTTTGTTCTATGTAAGGTCACTGTGAGTTAGAGCTATCTCGATGGCACCTATAACTAACAGCACCTTAACACATGAGACCCTCACTCACTGAGTCCCAGCGAGTATCCAGCTTCCTGCTCTTTAGCCAACTTGTGTCACAAAACTCCTTTCTGCTCTGAACACACTGTGCTCCATCACAATCCCAAATACCAAACACACTTTGTTGCCTCTTCCTGGATCTCCACTTACCTCTCTCGTGGTAACCTCCCAGCCGCCCTTCAAGACCCAGCAGAAATGCCCCTGACTCTGGAAAGCTGACCCCTTGGACATCCCACACCGTCCAGCACCCAGCAGTGCCCTGCAGCCTCTCACATTAAGCAGTTATGGCCAGGTGTGAAATGTAACTCCACCTTAGGGTGTTGTGGATAGCAAATGGCTCTAAATCGCCCCTTCCTCCCGAGCTGGTTCTGATCGCCCAGGGCCAGGTGTAACTCCCTTGTTTAATCTGTGTAGTGACCCAGGACCCCATCGGCAAAGGCACACCTATGCCTGGTGCGTGGAGTGCTGCTGGTACCTGGCTCAGGTGTTCACACACCTGCTGTGAGCATCATGGCGCCCAGGTCCCATCACTCACATGGCAGGAGGGTCCAATTTAGACCTTGTGGTGAGAGTCCCCTTCTCACACGCCAGCTCTGGAGAGAGGGAGCGCCAGCTTAGACGTGTTCCATCCTACGAGGGTGCACCTGGAAGCCAGGAAGTACTGGGAACTGATGTATCTGGCCTAGGGCAGCTTTCCAAGGCCCACTGAATACACAAAACCAAACTCCTTGCCATCATATCCATTGTGATTCATAGAGGCCCTACAGGACAGGGCAGAACTGCCCCATAAGGTTTCCAAGGAGCAGTTGGTGGATTTGAACTGCCAACCTTTTTGGTAAGCCGCCAAGCTCTTACCCACTACACCACCAGGGCTCCACACACAGAGAGCCCCTAAAATTTGATTCCATCCAAACGCTCTGAAACTGGGATCTGAGGAGGAGCACAAGGAAGTCAAGGGGCTTCAGGGCTGGAAATCAGAAGGCCAGCTCTCAAGCCCCAGCCTGACTGCTGAGGGGCCCACATGACTGTGGGCACATCACTGACCTCTTTCAGTCTCATCCCCTCTTCTCTGTCCCCACCTGAGCCTGTCATAC